TTCTTACCTCATAACCGTTACCTATAATCCCTACAATCGGCACCTATAATATTTGAATAAAAAAAAGATGCAAACTCACACACACACACACATATCGGATTTTCCCTGGCGGCCACTAAAGAGCACCGCCAATGAAAAACATTGCCATATTAAAAAAAACCCCGTCAGACTAAAAAAAAATCCACCGCCACCTTCTTCTCCTTCTCCTCTCATCATCCTCCCCCTCCTCTAGATCCACTAGCAGCCTCCAGATCCACCGGCGGCATCCTCCTTCTGTGCTCCTCCCTCACTGGCAGCAACTCCCTCTCCTCTCCGCCTCCTCCCTTCTCCCTCTCCAAGAACCGCCTCCGCCTCAGTAAGCAGTGGCGCTCCGGGGAGGCACAGTGATGGGCGGCCTATGGGTGGCGGCGGCTCTCCTCCTCTCTGCCCCTCGCCTCCTCTCCCTCTCCCCTGGCCTCCCACCGGTGGCGCATGGTCTCCTCCTCTCTGCGGAGGCGGGGCGCAACCTCCTCTCCGTTGTGGCCACGAGCGGCCTCCTCCTCTTCGCCGCTGGCCGCCGCGAGCCCGGGGCTGGATCTGGCTGCCGCGATGATGGGGGTGTCTGGATCGGCCGCCGTGACAACGGGGGAGGCCGGCGAGGAGGCAGCGACGACTTCTCCACGGTGGCGGGAGGGTAGGAGCGAATCTGGTGGCGGGCGGTGCTTGGGCGGTCATCCACGGCGTTGAGGAGGTGGATCCGATGGCTGCTGCCACGACGACGACAACGGCTGGGCTCCTCCAACCCCCTTCCCTCTACCACTTGGCGACCACGGCGTGGGATTCGGTAGGCGGCGGCCACGGCAAGGTGTTGTGACGGTGGGCTATGCTTGTGGCCGTGGCGGCCAGCGGTGTTTGCGGCTGTGGCGGCCAGCAGCACCGATTTTGAATTTTCTTTTATCCCAATAATTGTTATCACCGGCGGTTCTCTTTAGCTTGATTTTCACTAGCGGCCAGGCGGCCGCCAGTGAAAATGCATTATTTCCACTTGCATTTGGTCGCTGGCAGCACCTCTGGCTGCCAGCGAAAACTATTTTTGTAGTAGTGATGGTGCATGGTTCTCATCCGGATGAGATTAGGTAAACTTAGGGTGTGTTTGAGGAGAAGGAGATTGAGAAGATTAGGAAGATACGCAAAACGAGGTAAGCTATTAGCTCATGATTAATTGAGTATTGACTATTTTAAATTTTAAAAATGGATTAATATGATTTTTTAAAGCAACTTTTTTATAGAAAAATTTTACAAAAAACGCACTGTTTAATAGTTTGGGAAACGTGCGCGCAGAAAACGAAACAAACAAACTCACTCTCTCACCCTCTCGAATGCTGCCTTAAGGCTCTGAATAGAAGTTATATATATACTCTCCCCTTCCTAGAAAAATCCAGCTTTTGAGAATTAATCTGGATAAGCGTTTATGATGATTTTTTTTTATGTTCTAGATCTAGTTGATATGTAGAGAAATTGATAGATAGGGGCCAATATTTTTATGTAGGTAATTTTGTCTCGTGTTATTTATGCCATTCGTCTTGCTTTTAAATACAGCCTGACATAGCCGGCTAGCTGGGAGAGAATACACCATTAAAGCCCAAACCGAACAGGGTCCTCTTACAACTGGAGGTTGAAGCAAACCCGATGAACAAAAGAAGATTCAGTCTAACTTTAAAAAAACTCTGCCAGAGACAAGGAAGGGCACTAATAGGCAGCAAAAATCTTGCTGGAGATGACACCTCGTCGTTGTGGAGGAAGAAGACCTCCCACCATAGAGCAAATATGTTGCACTTTTTGACTCAAACACCAGAGAAAAACCAAATTGCATCCTTCCAAATGGCGCAAGGCAGAGCAAGCTCTGATTTTGAGCTCAAGCCAGCCATGGAAGGAGACAGCTAGGACAAAAAGGATGCGTGTTGGCATCTCCATCGAGCTATACAACAAAGGAGAAGAAAAAGACCTAGTATGAGATAAACTCGATTTAAAACGGGATGAACCTGACGGCTTCCCGGAACCCCCCCCCCCCCCCCCCCCACATCACTCACCCCCTCGCCGATGACCAGCAGCCACCGAAGACGGAGAAGAAAGGGGATCTAGTGGAGGAAAAGAGGGGCTGCTCTTTTTCACTCACTGACAGAGGGAGAGGATAAGGTCGAGCCTCCGCATTGGAGAGCAATATATACTCCCTAGGTCTAAGCAGTTGTGTCCAATAGGCTTGGCTATTAGCCCAAAATTAACGTTGCCAGTGCACTGGTCCATTGCATTCCCGGTCCGATATGATGGCCATACAAAACATTCACAAATCAGCGTAAATAAATAGCGCAGTGCAATTTGACGTGAAGAAAAGGATACACAACATGGTTACTGCTTCTCATGATAATCTCACGCAAAATCAGAGAATGAATTTAGCAGAAAATATTGTGGGCAAAAACAAATGACCCCATTGTCACAGGGCCAGTTCGATGGGAGAGCAGACGCCATTATAGTGCTGGCGTGTATATGCTCCACAATCCTAGCTCAGAAATTTATAGATTATTTCGTTTAAAAAATATTTCTCTGGATATATATGTGCATGCATGCAAGCATGCAGCAACACATATATAGTATATAATATATATATATATATATATATATATATATATATATAGGCAGCCGCGCCGGATCGTACGTACGCTGGTTTCTTCCTTGCTTAAAATGCTCACTTGGCCTGGACGTTGGACTTGTACACGCTGTCGGCCTTCCAGCCATCAGGGATGGCGTCCTCGGCGATGATCTTCTCGCCACCCTCGGTGGTGACGCGGACGGAGAAGGGGCCCTTGAGCGGCTTGGGGGTGTCTATCCTCCAAATGGCACCCCATGACTCCTTGAGCGCCTTCCACTCCTCGGAGCCCTTCTCCTTGATTTCCACCTCCACGACGTCACCATCACCAGCGACGTACTTGACTAGCAGCGCAAGGTAGTTGGGGTTGGAGGCCTTCTCGATGTGGAAGGTGATCTTGGTGTCGGCAGGATACTTGCACTTGACGCGGCGGAACTGCGTGTCGATGATGCCGGCCTTACGGAGCTCTTCGTCCTTGCCATCCTTAGCCATGGCGCCGAAGGCAAGGCCGGAGAGGTCAAAGTGGTAGGCAGCGATGGGCTCGTCGTTCATGTCGGTGACGTGGATAAGGGCGGGCTTGTCGGAGCAGGCCTCCGGCTTGGAGCACTTGATCTCGAAGCATGAGCCGCAGCCCTTGCCGTCCTTGAAGATGGGGTCGTTGCCGCAGGAGTTCATGCCGAGGAAGGGAGCCTTGTCGACATCCTTGTACCCGCAGGCGCCGCCGTTGTCCTTGGGGCCAGCACCCTTGGGCGCACCATACCAGGTGGCCTTGGCTTCCAGCCACTTGTCGCCGTAGCTTGTCGTGATGTTGGGGCCCGGTGGCACCTTGGGTGGCCCGCAGGAGACGGCGGACACCATAGCCGCCACCACAACACAGGCGAGTAGAAGGGAGGAGGATGCCATTGCTGCAATATAATGTTATTGCTGGTGGATGATACAGCTGAACGCCAATGCGGGTGGTATTTATGGGCGGAGGCAAGAGAGCTATGGACGGAGCACCGCCGGGATCGCGGGACAAAGGAAGGCGTCGGGGGATCGATGGACGCATGGCGGCCGCTACCTACTTTGTCGGGCTGACCGCTACTAGTTTCGGATGGTGGGCCTGGGCTTCATCCCAAACTTCTTCTTTTCTAGTAGTAACTTTCTCAATTAACCACACTGAACCTGGAATTATTATTAATTAATGGTTTAATCACGACAAACATTAACTCTCACTCTTTCTGCAGCAGATGATCCAGATATATATAGTGTAGGTACATGCATGTCTTCTCAGTAAAAAATCGTATATTGTTCATCCCTATTTACTGTACATTTAATCGCAATATATACTAGCATCACATTTGTATTATTATAGAGTATATATATCTCAAGCACATGTAAACAACGCCAGCCCAAAATTAAAGGAAGGAAACGTATCCTTTGCCGTAGCATTTATCGATAGCATATTAGGGCACGTTCAATGGTTGAGGCGAGTATGGTCTCTTAAACAATACAAGATTATTTAGAGACCATATGTTTACAATAGTTGAGACGATAAAGGCTCTAATCATTAACTTAAAAAATATTTATTTTATTAATATTCTTTCCTTTTTTTATACTCATGCAACCATATTTCCATATTATAGTGATTAAGAGTCGTTGTTAAGCCATTGTTATGCATAACAATGATTTTTTTCTCTCTTTCTTTTTCTTCCATGTCAACAAGTATTTCTAATTAGCACCGCTAAGATACCACTATTGACAACCATTGTACATGCCCTTATAAGTACTATTTGCATCCAATGGACTTGCATTAATATTTATGAATAACTACTTAGAGCAGGTATAGAGCTGTTAAACTGGCTCCAAAACTTACTTATCAGCTTAATTTGAGATTAAGGAAATAAAATCTCAGAGAAAGAAACAAGTGAGCGCTTGTTTTGGCGCCAGCGCTTGCACCGTGCCCCAAACTGTATTGCTCACGTGCAGCCAGAAGAGACGATAAAAAATGTGTTTATGTGGGTCCCATACAGAACCCTCTCTGATGTATCCATACAATTATTTAATGTATGTATGCTACCAAGATAGATTATAGCTAACTATAAAGTTTGCTTGTTGTATGAGTTGGCTTTTAAGTTACTCTACTTGACATGATAAAATTTTAGAGCTTGCTGCTAGCTGCACTATTGATCTTGTTCTTACTCATACTACCTCTATGACATCACCATAAAATAATTATACAAATTTGGACTAGAGTAGTGTCCTGCTTATTCAGACCAAATCCAAACATATTATATTGTCACTTAATCACACAGAAGTCTCGTGGCAAATTATATTAAAGTATGGGGTCTCCATCTAGTTATGTACTCCCTCCATTTCTAAATATTTGACGCCGTTGACTTTTTTAAATATGTTTGATCGTTTGTCTTATTCAAAAAAATTAAGTAATTATTAATTCTTTTCCTATCAATTTGATTAATTGTTAAATATAATTATATGTATACATATAGTTTTACATATTTCATAAAAGTTTTTGAATAAGACGAATGGTCAAATATGTGCTTAAAAAAGTCAACGGTGTAAAATATTTAAAAACAGAGGAGTAGCTTCTTCCTCAACTCAGACAAATTTGCGGTGGCGCTCGTGCTCCTGGTCCTGGGGAATGGTGCAAATGGGGCAAGCTCAGCTGAGCACCCGATGTGGCGTCGTCGAGCGCGGCGGTGGGGGAGAAGACGATCGAGGTGGCATGTGTCTCTCTGCCTCTAATCTCATATATACTATATAGCGACGTCGGCCACAGCTAGCGCGTTGCATTGGGCTTCACCGACGGGAAGACGATGGCTCTAGAGGCGGTGCGGTGCGTGTCTCATCACCTCTGCTATAGGCTATAGCACCATGCATCATCATCGTCCGCGGCAGCACGTGAGGCTCCACCAGCTAGCAATCGTCGCGTCACCTCGATCTAGAAGCCATGACTGATCGATAGTCCCTGCCTCCAGGTCCATATATATCGCCGGCGATCGACCTATATATCGGATCTGGAGGCCACGACGACTGGCGTTGATCTCCGGCCAGCTCCATCTCCCTTAATATATTTGGCCTTTGCCTGGAGTTGAGCTCGATCATCGCCTTCCTTGGATTCATTTGTATTGCCATATATAGACGGAGAAAGCCCCCTAGCTCTGCGCCGAACCTAAGCGTCGCTGGAGATTTCCGGCCATGAGTTGCACAAGAAATGGATGTGCTGGCCGGAATTGGAGCGAACGGAGAGATGCCGACAGAAACCATCACAACTTAATTAGCACGGTTAGAATTATGCAAAGCATCTGATGTCATGAATATATAGTAGCAATTTTTTTCCAAGTTGATAAATTTGGTCACAATGTCGTGGATCTAAGTAATTACCTATTCGATGGTCGTCGCATAGTTCAACTACTTATTCATTTCCAATATTATTTTTACAAATTGCATATATGTGGGCTTCGTCGACGCGCAATTAAATTTGGACTTGCAATTAAAAATGCACAGTTCGTATCGCGAGTCCAGCTCTGGTCTCTCAAAAAGAAAATTGGAAAGGACCCGAAAGTTGAGTGGTAGGAATAACGAATTTATACTGCTACCTATTGGTACTAGTTAATTAACTAATGATAATTTATGAGTTATCAATTACCGTCTAAAATCCTCGCCAAAAAGGAAAAAAAAAGTTACCGTCTAGAATATTTGTATGACTTGACTTGACCACAAGTCCCATAATATCTTTTAATAATGGAATAGAAATCCATCTTTGCTCGAACGAGTTACAGCCAATTATTACATTAAATCACTCAAAACGAGTGCAACTTAAAGAGAACTTGAAAAAAAAAACTTTTCCAAACATAAAGCGAACGCAAACTCGTAAACGCCAACACAAGATAAACAGCACATAATTATTGAATTCTATTTGTGAATCTCCATTCGAAGTTGACAAAAGGCTACATAACTGCTACCTAGCTTAATTACCTAGCTAGTTCCATATATAACATTATTATTGTTCGCTCTTATGTCATCGAAGATGAACGCGGAAACATTACTCAACTGTGAATTGTATATATAACCTCTGGTATATATATTTCTGCCTATGGCCTATTCCTTTTCAAGAAATAGAATGATCAATGGCTGATTGCGCACATTTTCTAGGCTCCTAAATAATACAATTTTCACAGAAAAATTATATACGAATTTCTTAGAAAACATTTTTTTCAACTTTCATAATATTTAATATTTTTTAATCCTCAAATGTTTATTACAAACCATTTATTATTCAATCATTCAGCACAAAAGAATAGGGACTTTTCTGATAATGGATATTATCTGGTCTTTGCTTCAAAAGAAACTACATTCACTTATTTTCAAAGTTCTTGGCTCAAAACCAATTTCAACACCATGAAAACAAAAAAAAGATGATTTTACACATTTAAGATCCACAAAAATACAAAGATATACAATTTATTAAGACAGTAATTTATTAGTAAATCTCCATCCAAAATTATTAAATACTTAACCATTCTTTTCTTCTTACATAATACAGATTACCATTGACATGCTTCAAAAGCTACTTGAACGGTGCAAACAATTCTATACATAAGTTTTTATATAGTATTTTAAAGCAACCTTCGATAAATTTTAATAAGTAATTTATTCGTTCCTACTCTTAAAATGTTATCACATAATCATATAATCAATAATATACTCCATCCATCCCTCCGTCGTTCCTATTTAATTATTGTATAAGTTCTTTCACCAACATCAAGGAAAACTAAATTTATTTTCTCTATATCTCTTCTATCATAAAAAAAAAGTAAAGCTAAGCTTATTTTCTCCGTATCTTTACTTTACTGTCATAAAAGCACAGGCATCCTCCTTTTCATCCCTGGCTCATACAGCACGCAGCGCACGTTTAAAAAAAAATGCTCGCTCACGCTAAAAAAAAAAGAAAAAGAAAAAGGTGGTTGTTGTGCGATCCCAACAAAACAGAAAATTCGATAAAAATAGAAAAGTAAAAAAATAAAAGGTGGTTAGATGATAGAAAATTCGCTAAAGAAGAATAATAAAAAAATGTAGATGGATAAAAAATCCCCACTTTATACTAGATATATATATCTATACATAGTATAAATAATTTGCTATACACGGTGATATAACTAATTTCATTTAAGTTGAGTATATGGTGAGGTAAAATCCATAAATATGGGACTTTAATTTTAACTCCCGGGATGCACTAGAAACAGTGCTTAACTACCCCTGCATATATGCATACTTAATTAATTTGTATCCACAAATACAATAATACTGCATATTAAATAAAGGACTAGGGTTGATGATCAATTTAAAAGTTTTAATATTTAATAATATGATGATCATTTGTAACTGAGGAAGTATCATATAAAGACAAAAGGAACCGGGTACCGAAATTCTTTGCCATGCATCTAGTGGATTTTGACGAGTGTAGCTAGTGCCGTTGACCCAAAAGTCAGTTCATACTGTAGTAATGAACTTATTGTTTCCTTCGTTTTTTAACATTGTTGATTTTTGACATCATATTTGATCATTCATTCTATCTAAAACAATTTATAAAAATATCATTTGTTTTGTTATAACATATTTTATCATAAATAAACTTTAAACATGACTTATAATTTATCATATTTCTACTATCTAGAAAAATACTCGTACGTTGCAACGGGTAAAGGCTATTTTATTTATATAATTGTCAGAATTTTTTTTGTCCAGAAGGTATATGAGATTTTTTTTTGATAATATTGATATATAATTTGGAACTTTTATTGGGATGATGGTCAATTCTAAAGCAATTAGGAGTTTGACTCTCGTCACAAGTTAACATGCGAATTTTTTAAAAGGATTTCTTATACGACTCCTTATATATTTTCAAAAGTGAACGAACTTAAAAATCGACTCAGATACGAACGACGTACCAAAGTATTAGTAGAAATATCTTTAATTTTTATAATAGTAGAGATAAATTATTATTTAAAAGTAAAGGGCGTGAGCAACGTGGGCAACTTGGCCGGGAGAGCTAACTATATACAATCTTTTATAGTATAACACAAAAAGCTCAGTTCATAATCGTAAACTAGCTACTATCTCCATCCTAAAACATAGCACATTTTTCATATTGTTCAGATTCATATTATTAGGAAATATCTCATCATGTATAGGTAGCTATATTTTAAAACAGATATCAATTATTAATTATTATTCCCTCCATCTTAAAATATAACAACTTTTATCCTTTAAATTTTATCTTAAAATATAACAACAACTTCTCCTATCAACAAATCACATCGTTAATTAATTTCACCATTTAAATTATTTACCTACTTTATTTTCTCAATCAATCATAATTCTTTCTCATTTAATGTTATCTGCTTTCTCAATACGCTAGCTTGCCTAACTCTAAAACGAATGTATAGTAACTAAGTGCTGCATGCATGTCAATGAATGATGTCATCTCTCTCTCGATCTATATAAACCCCTCCGCGCAACATAGGCATATATAGCTACCTTCATATATTAAGCACTTAATTAAGCAGCTGTGGTGCGAGATCGAGGCAAATACGTACTCATAGTTAGGTAAAATTAAGGCACCCAGAGAGATAGAGAGAGAGAGAGAGAGAGAGAGCTTAATTAATTTGCAGATATATATGGCGCACAATGGTTGTCCAGCTGCTGCTACACCTACAACAGAGGTATTATGTTCCCATGCATATTGATCTCCATTGGGTACCCAAGTTCTCCTTCTCAATCTGTGGCCCGGGCTTTGATCTCCATCAATAATACTATATATCTGCTCTGATAGTATAAATAAGAGAGAAAAATAATAAGTATTAACTTATAATTTTTAATATATAAGAATTAACCCTACATATACTTTAAAATAAATATATTAAATAAATAAGTGAGATAAAGAGAAAAAAGAGAGGTGAAGACAACCTTATGGATGCTACCTGTCTAATACCTTCTTTCCCAAATATTCGAGCTAACCCAACTTAGAAAAAGCATAGAGGAAGTATTAGCTCGTTCTAATTGTTTAATTTTGACCACCTGTTAAAAATCACTCGCATATCTAATTATTTGGCGGATAGAAAAATATTATTTCACCCTTTAAAGGATAATATTTTATCTTAACCATCCATTCTTCGCATCTCTTATCTTTTCAAACCTACCTCTTATAACCCATTTATCAAACACACCCATATAAAAAAAATCAGCTATTGGAAAGCTAGGCATGTACAAAAATCTAATAATGGTAATAAATTTCACAAAACCATCTTAAAAACATATATAATTTTTTAAAATATTTTTTTACATTAAATTTATAATTTTGTGATACAAAATCTTTAATAAATTTTATAGTTTGCCATAGTTTTATCTAATATAGTTGGTGGAATTTACTCAAAATTTAATGCGTAAAGTGCATTGACAGTTCTTAAACTTGTAAAGTTGTGTCATATACCACATTAACGTCACGTAAGATCCTGAAGAGGTTGTGGCGATTTAGAATCTAGATGACACATTATGATAAGTTCTGGAGCTTGGATATGTATTTTGAGAGTCTAGGGACCCAGATAACACACCCCTACAAGTTTAAGGACCGCACGTACAATTTACTCAAATTTAAATTTATGTGATTAGATTTGAAAAACGCATCACATAGACAAACAACAGAAAAAGAAAAGTACCGTTCAAAAAAAAAACAGAAAAAGAAAGGACTCACCAGAGGAGGCAGCGGCCGGAATTCTCGGCGTGGAGCCCGCACTCGCCGGTGAACCTCTCACCAGAGCTGGCCGCCGGCGAGGTCGTGGCTGGCGGAGCTGGCCACGAGGCGCCGGATCTGGCCGAGCTCAAGGCATGGCTGCGGCAGCTGGTCCCGCGAGTCAATGACCGGTGGGACCAACTAGTTAGCCTTGTGTGTGTTTTGCGCTCGCGGCCGCCGCTATTTTATTCGGACGACGACGGTTTCCGCCGCCGCCACCGCCGCATTGCCATTGTCTTCGCCCCCCGCCGCCGCCTGCTCAAACCCATCGGAGAGCAAACCGAATGGAGCTCCACCTCACCTCCCGCGGCGCCCTCCCGCTGTCTCCGCCGCTCGCCGGCCAGCGGCGTCCTCACCTCTCTCTCTCCACGCCGTCGCTTCCGGTACTCTCTTCTCAATCTCAAACTCGCCTCCCTCCCCACCTATTTTTCTCGTCTTCGCTTTGCAAATACCATGCGTTTCTACTACTTGCTGCCTGCCTGCGTGAGTGGATACTTTTGAACTAGAATGGGGAGCGAACCTTTTCTTCTTTTTCTCCCTCTTCTTTTTTTTAAACAGTGAATCTCCTAACTAGTTGTTGCCCAGCGATTCGAGCGTCTAATCATACATGAAGGGATTAAGACGTGGCGTTTAGCTCTAATTGTTGGTTACTTGTAAAGGTTTAGGCTAAATGACCATTACCATAACAAAGCTGTTCGTTTTCCCTATTTTCCTTGTTCTGGACTGTTATCATCTGAATTCCTAAATAAATGAATCAGGCACAACTAAGTTGTCTACTGTATCATTCATTGGCGTGTGGTAGTGGCTACTCTAGACTCTAGTGCTGTAGAGTAGATGCCATCTCTCTGGTCCTTTTGAGTGAAATTTGTGCTTGATTGGCCCTACTGGTCCCATCCCATGCATAGATTCAAGCCTCGTCTGATTTATTGTCATATTGTATTTCCTACTACTAGCAAAGATGCATCCGGGTTTAAATATTTTCAACTTTCGATGGCCTTTTGATCTGATAGAAGAATATCTTTTTTCCCCCACCTCTTCTTGCTACTGCAGATCAAGAATCACACTTATTCAGTGCCACCTCCTTTCTCCAAGGCTCACTGCGCGATAGGATGCCAAGCTTCTCTAGCAACTAACTACATGTATGTAAATATGAACTGTATATGACAAGTCTCACTGCCATGGGTTACGTTTCAATCAAGTCCACAAGTGATAAATATTGTCCTGATCGTATAACTTGCAGGGAAACCTCTGCGGTGGCTGATTTGGACTGGGAGAACCTCGGTTTTGGCCTTGTCCAGACAGATTTTATGTATATTGCAAAATGCGGGCCAGATGGGAACTTTTCCAAAGGAGAAATGGTACCATTTGGACCTATAGAACTGAGCCCATCTGCTGGAGTCTTAAATTATGGACAGGTTAGTAGGGAGTTTCTACAGTGGATTGGGAACTTCAAACATTGGTAACATGTGAAATAGGTACTCTTTGAAGTCCTAAATGAATTTACTGCGCTTAAACAGTGATTATTTTCGTACATAGGGCTTGTTTGAGGGCTTAAAGGCATATAGAAAAACAGATGGATACATTCTGCTGTTTCGTCCGGAGGAGAATGCCATAAGGATGAGAAATGGTGCAGAGAGGATGTGTATGCCTGCACCAACTCTTGAACAATTTGTGGATGCAGTAAAGCAAACCGTTTTGGCAAATAAAAGATGGGTAAGAAATTTTATGTTTTCCTATGCTCTTGGATTAAGTTCTGCATTCAACAATCTTTTGTCTTCATAATCCTGTCACTCTCTTTAATGTACTATATTTGTAGGTGCCCCCAACCGGTAAAGGCTCCCTGTATATAAGGCCGCTGCTTATGGGAAGTGGAGCTGTCCTTGGTCTTGCACCTGCTCCTGAGTATACCTTTATGATTTTTGTCTCCCCTGTTGGGAACTATTTCAAGGTTTGTGTTAAGTTTTTAACTTAACTTCCACCAGATACTCGAGCAACTCATCCAATATGTAAAGAACCATGTATCCTAGGGAAATAATATTCCTTTTGCAGTGATTATAGGATAGTGGAATTGGAATTACACCACAAGCAGATTTGCTATCACGATTCCTGATTCCACCAAGAATAGAAATTCATCCCCTGTTATCTTTGTAAACTACCATACATGCTGATTAAATTTGTTATCTTTGATTTACAGGAAGGTTTAGCCCCTATTAACTTGATTATAGAAGAAAACTTTCACCGTGCTGCCCCTGGTGGAACTGGCGGAGTGAAAACCATTGGAAACTATGCCTCGGTAACTTCTGGCACTGCATCTATGAAAGCTACAACTATTTAATTTACAGCTTCTGTGGCCATCATCTAGTTAGTTATATTTGCAACTATGTACTTACCTATTGGCTATTGCTTATTCTGCTATATGTACAGCATGTAACTATGTACCCTCTAAATTCTATTGCTTACGCAGTTAGGCTTCTCTATTGTTTCAAGAGTAATTGAATTCGAAACTTAAAATGTAAACATTTTTGTTCCTATGAAGCTATTATGTTGGATATCTATGTGGATTTCATATTATTTAGTTTCAAATGGTCAGCTCACGGCTTATTTTAATTTTTTTCCCCTTGAGACAAATAACCGGAAATGGAAATCTCACTCGTTGTGATTTGTGAGGAAGTGATGTTGTGGTAAAATTAGCCTGAAATGGAAGTTAGAGTCAGTCAGTGATGATTTGTTTACTGAATACTGATATTCTAGCATATATACATACATTATGTGCTATTACTCACACTGTTTTAGTTTTAATCTTATGGTTTCTCAGTTTCCATATTTGTTGCCACCATGTAGGTATTAAAAGCACAGAGGATTGCAAAACAGAAAGGATATTCAGATGTCCTCTATCTAGATGCCGTTCACAAGAAATATCTGGAAGAAGTGTCTTCGTGCAATATCTTTATTGTGAAAGTATGATCCTTCTCTTATACCTATGCTTATTTTAGCAAATATTTTCAGTAGCTGGAGTCAGAAGTAGTTTTTCCTCAGCGAAGCGCATGATGTTATACTACTTAGTCAATTACAACCTAATCGATATTTTTTTGTTGTTGCATGATTAGGCGTTCCCATTTGGCCAATGCTTATTTAGGTTTTATGCAGTGAAATGGCACAAGTTCCCTTAGGATGTGTAAATCGTTTAGGTTCTTTTTTTTTTATCGTCGTAATCATGTTATTTTCCCGCATCAGGGCAATGTTATTTCTACTCCAGCAATAAAAGGAACCATACTGCCTGGTATAACAAGGAAAAGTATTCTTGAAGTTGCTCAGAGAAAAGGCTTCATGGTAAATTACTCATCAGCATCATGGAGACCAGGAAAGAAATGACTGCCTAGTGCATTTTACCTGTGAATTTGAGATAAGCTTTTTATAGTTACCATTCCACAATACCAAATTAAATTCTTGTTTTCACCAGTAGCTCAAGTTTACTTAAATGATTAGCCAGATCCTATTTTCCTAGTGGCCTGGAAGAGCTGTTGTTGGCCCATCATAGGGTTATTTCCTCATTGATTACAGGAAGAAAAAATATGTTATTTAAATGCTTTTGTTAATGTTATGTAGCTTTAATTAATGTTAACTTACTGTAAGGTTGAGGAGCGCCTTGTGTCAGTGGATGAGCTTCTTGAAGCTGATGAAGTTTTCTGCACGGGAACAGCTGTTGTGGTGTCCCCTGTGGGGAGCATAACTTATCTGGGGCAAAGGTGAAACTTCTGCTTTGCTTGAAAGCTTACTTGCTGTGCAATATGGCTATTTGATGCAGTAAAAATTTGCAGCTAATGTCTTTAGAACACATATCACAGCAGTTTCGGGATAAGACTGGATTAGTTAGTTACTACTCTACTAGAAATAGCACCAAAACAAATGGTACTACCTCGGTAAAAATAAAACCTGGTGAAGAAGACCTTGGATTAGCTACGTGTTTCATAGGCTAGGTTTTCCTTAACTTTTCACCATGCTGATATGATTTTCTCACTTGTGATCATTTCTTAGGGTTTTTTTTTGTAATTATTACCTCAACATTTACCTGGCATGATCATGTCATCCTGTTACAAACACCACCAATTGCTTTACCAGCGTTTGGTCTGAGAGTCAACATTTTCTCTGTTTTTAGAAAAACCGAAATGCAACATGATATGGAATGTAGTATTACACGCGCAGGTGGTCAGTTAGCTATAAACTTGAGATCTTTCGGGATTGGTTGCCCATGATAATTGTAGAGCAATTGGAGTCGTGCTGCCGCACGCATTAAAATGAGATATTTAACTATGCTAAGTTTGTTCTTGAGATAGTTATGACAAGACATATAAGATCCGAAAATTGTACTGCTAACCTTGCAGGGTGGAATATGGCAACCAAGGAGTGGGCGTGGTGTGTCAGCAGCTGTATACTTCACTTACAAGCCTCCAGATGGGTCATGTGGACGATTGTATGGGCTGGACTGTGGAACTAAACCAGTGATCATGTACCTCCCTTCTCGCTGTATACGTTGGGGGTATTTGGCGCATTGATCCGATAATAATGCAAAATAATAAAAAATGTTGTTCTTTTTATGGTCAGAACAAATTCCCCATATACTATTAGTCCTGTGCTCCTGAAGTTCTGATCACAAGAACAGTGTGCTAATGTATCCTGTTATCACAAAATACTAGTATCAAGAAAATCTCAAATAAAAAAAGACTGGACCTTATTTGTTTTGAATCTGTGCAAGAGATGTATTCCTGTTTTGAGTTGTGTTTGCAGTTGCATAGCAGAGCACTCCTAATTTCTTCTCTGCCGCAATTTGAATGTTAATTTTGTATAGGCCTTGTTTAGTTCCCAGGATTTTTTTTCCTAGAAAATCTTTGGAAATATGCATGGAGCATTAAATATAGATAAAAAAAGAAAAAAATAATTGCACAGTTTGTATCGAAATCGCAAGACGAATCTTTTGAGTCTAATTAGTCCATGATTAGCCATTGCTACAGTAACCCACATGTGACAACGACGGATTAATTAGGTTTAATAAATTCGTATCGCAGTTTCCAGGTGAGTTATGAAATTAGTTTTTTTATTCGTATCCGAAAACCTCTTCCGACATCCTATCAAAATGTCCGATATGACACTCTAAAATTAAAATTATGTTTCGGTGAACTAAACACACCCATACATGACATAGCCGCAATTATTCAAAACTCGGGCCCCATGTGTCAGCCTCAGAGCTGCCATGCGCAAGGGCGGGCCCACACGGGGAGCTGTGGTGCCTATAAAAGGCGGAGAACAGGGACCCACCAGAAAGCAAGCAGAGCAGGAAGAAATTCAAATTTGCGAATATTCTCTCTCTCTCCCCGGCGAAGGCGACGGCGAAGGAGAAGGCTACGGCGATCGGCGGCGATCGGCGGCATGAAGCTTAAGATGAACAAGGCCTGCGACATCGCCTCCATCTCCGTCCTCCCTCCCCGGTAATCCCCTTCTGCTCAATGCTCATGCATGCTGTGTTTTTGCTCATGGTGGGGTGGTGTGGTGTGTTCAGGAGGACCGGAGGGAGCAGCGGCGCGTCGGCTTCCGGTTCCGTGGCGGTGGCGGTGGCGTCTCAGCCGCGGTCGCAGCCGCTCTCGCAGTCGCAGCAGTCCTTCTCGCAGGGCGCCTCCGCCTCGCTCTTGCACTCGCAGTCGCAGTTCTCGCAGGTCTCCCTCGACGACAACCTCCTCACCCTCCTCCCTTCCCCCACCCGCGATCAGGTCTCACCTCACCTCACCTCTCCTCTCCTCTCCTCTCCTCTCCTTCTCCCCCTCGCTCTTGTTTCTGCCGCCCAATGGATTTTGGTATTTTTCGGTGCCTTACTGATTGGGGATTCCACTCACTCCTGTCCCTGTGTGTTGTTCGGTGTTTATCAGAGTCTTCCGCTGAATTGCCTTGTGGATTTTTGGTGAAAATCCATATCAGATTCAGTATTGATACAGCATTTGTCAGTTTTTTTTATCTCTGGTCGCAGTTGCAAAAAAAAAAATGTATGCTGCAGAACGACTAATAGATAGTGCAAGGTCCAATTACTATGAGTAGGCTGTTCCTGCAATTTCAGATTTGTTTTGATTACTAGTGGTACAAATTGCTCACTCTGCTGCCCACCACCTTGCTGCACGCTTGCACTGATAAATCAGGGAATTGAACTCCGTTTTTGTCTGTCCTGTAAAACTGTTTGCAATTGACACCCACCCTTATACATGCAGTTACACGATTTCATTACATGAATGCCTGTTCCTCATAAATTACTTTTGCATTATTCATGGAAGCATCATTGGTGCATCACAAACTGAGATTTCTGTACCTGTGCATCTAATTACAGCTTGACTAGTTAGAAATGGCATGTGTAGTGTTTTGTATCTTGCCCATTAACATTCATTCATGTCTTCATTGTTGTACAGAGATTTGGCTTGCATGATGACTCATCCAAGAGGATGTCCTCTTTACCAGCCAGTTCAGCTTCTTGCGCGCGAGAAGAGTCTCAGCTGCAACTGGCAAAATTACCAAGCAACCCAGTGCACCGCTGGAACCCCTCCATTGCAGATACTAGATGTAAACTCTCAAGACCCACGCACTACATCTCATATATCCTTCATTTCGTTTATACCAGAATAGCAGCATTTCACCTGAGTTCCAGGCACACTTTGTTTTTTCCAACTGGGTTCTGTTTTTCTATTCTGCATAGAATGTAAGATGATCGCTGCATGCTTTTATAATAGAAAGTTCAATTGAAATCATTCTTTATCTGGACTCCAAATCACTAAGTTGTTGTACTGCCATAGTATTTTCTCATCAGTATAACTGACAGATGGGTATATCAGCAGGTCAGGTTACTAATGAGGATGTTGAGCGCAAATTTCAGCATCTGGCAAGCTCAGTACATAAGATGGGGATGGTGGTAGACTCAGTCCAAAGTGACGTAATGCAGTTAAACAGAGCCATGAAGGAGGCATCATTAGATTGTAAGCCCCTAACTTTCAGTCATAAAGAGTTATTGTGCAACTTCTGTTTTGTCTATGAATTTCTGCACTCTATTTCTGTCCTTGTTCAGCAACTGGAACTGAAAGCAATTATTTTTTTATGTTTAGCTGGTAGCATACGGCAAAAGATTGCTGTCCTTGAAAGCTCACTTCAGCAAATTGTAAGGATAATTGATGGTTCAGCATTTTCTCCACTTTCCCTCTTTCCTTTTCTTTTGTGCAACGTCAGAGTTAACATACTACCGTGTTATCACAGCTTAAGGGACAAGACGATCTCAAAGCACTCTTTGGAAGCAGCACAAAACACAATCCTGATCAGACAAGTGTTCTGAATTCTCTAGGCAGCAAATTGAATGAGATATCCTCGACCCTTGCAACCTTGCAGACACAAATGCAAGCAAGACAACTGCAGGGTGATCAGACAACTGTTCTGAATTCTAATGCCAGCAAATCGAATGAGATATCCTCGACTCTTGCAACCCTGCAGACACAAATGCAAGCAGATATAAGACAACTGCGGTGTGACGTCTTCAGAGTTTTTACAAAAGAGATGGAGGTACTTCCAGTTTTGATACAACTCTGATAAGTCCAACTGTCCAAGTGTCTACAAATTATTCTGAAAACTATCATTTGCATATAAATGATTATCATTCTTGTGTATGAGCATGTGATTTTTTTTCTGGTATATCCAAATATGACAGTTAAGTTTCCATATAAGCATAGTTACCTAAAGTTTTCTTCTATATTCAATTATTCATGATACTTGAGAACCTAAGGTCCAATATATTCAGTATATGATATCTTTCAGTTTTCGGTTTTTATGAGTCTGATGATGTCTGAAGGAGCAGGCACAAGTCTGCGTGAACTTAAATTTGTCATGCTCAAACCTCATCAATTCGCATAGTGAAGGCAACCAATGTGATGTTTTTGTCTATATTTGATTGTGTTTTGCCTGTTTGCGCAGGGGGTTGTTAGAGCTATCAGGTCTGTCAATAGTAGGCCTGCTGCAATGCAAATGATGGCAGTATGTAAATTCATGACTCAAGTAATTTTAGCCATAAGTCTTCCAGTATCTTTCTCTAACTTCTTTTTGGTCTTGGCTGAAGGACCAGAGTTACCAAGTACCAGTTTCAAATGGATGGACCCAGATTAACCAGACACCAGTAGCAGCTGGAAGGTCTCCAATGAACCGAGCACCAGTAGCAGCTGGAAGGTCCCGGATGAACCAATTACCTGAAACAAAAGTGTAATTTTCTGCTCTTGGCTCCTTACATAGTTCAGTCATTAGCTATGTATTTATCACTACTATAGTATGGAGAATTGAACTGAAAGACCTCTTGATGGAATCAAATTCAAATCGGTTTTAAATCCTTGAGATCCTATTTAAAATCAAGTGTTAGAAGCAATTCAAAAGAATGATTAATATTCCATTGGTTTCGTTACGAAGCTGGTTAAATACTGCCAGTTTAAATCTACTAGATAGTAATTATTCTAAATTTTGTATAATGGAACATTATCTCATTTTATTGGAAGGAATTGTGTCGGTGCATTCCTTCGAGTTGTGTTACTAGCAAGACTTAAGCTACCAACTGTTCTTCTTCGGATCTTTGTTGGATTTTCTATTCTGACGAGGATTGTTTGTTAATGTCAGGCTTTCTGCACATTTGGTTTATCCTGCAAAGGTGACAGATCTGAAGCCAAAGGTGGAGCAGGGAAAGGTAAAAGCAGCTCCACAAAAGCCGTTTGCTTCGAGCTACTACAGGGTGGCACCTAAACAGGAAGAGGTAGCGATTAGAAAGGTCAATATACAAGTGCCAGCAAAGAAGGTAAGCCATGCAGCCCTGCTCCTTTCTGTATCAGTAACGAAAGAACATGTTTACAAGGCCAATTTGTTAACAAGAAGCATCTCTTGCTCTAATTGGTAATGTTCTAAAATCAATATCACTGAATGTACCAAAGTGGCATAGCTTTGTATCACGCAGGTTTAATAAAGATAGTAGGTGGTCGCCTTATGTTCAACTCGTGATCATGTTTGCTTGCTTGTGAATGCAAAATGCAGGCACCAGTCAGCATAATCATCGAGTCGGATGATGACAGTGAAGGACGTGCGTCCTGCGTGATTTTGAAGACAGAAACAGGTAGCTATCAACCGTTGAACTTCCCCTCGAAAAGCCAGGGTGCATTCTTTTCGATGGATGAAACCCAGCGGGAGATCTAGGGGATAAGAGAGCTGAATTCCATGCAACCAACAATTAAAAACGATGCTTTCAATCACTGAATCTGCTTTGCCGGCTGTCATGGCGAGTGATTGCGTAATAGAGTAGAGTTTCAATCATCTAGAATTTACTTACAGTTTGCGTTTGATTACCCTTCTACTGCTACTGCTAGTATTTACGGGTTGGTGCACATGTGAACATATGGTGCAGGTAGCAAGGAGTGGAAAGTGACAAAGCAAGGCACCGAAGAGGGCCTGGAGATCCTGCGGAGGGCGAGGAAGAGGAGGAGGAGAGAGATGCAGTCCATCGTGCTCGCATCCTAGCTAATTAATGGTAACGCCGCATGCATCGTCATCATCATCTCAAGATTGACTGATTGTTTTAACATAAAGCCAAACAAAGGAAAGAGATAAAGATTACGACAAGACGAAATTAAAAGGTAAATCAACCACTAAACTAGAGAGCTAGAACCTGCTGTCCAGTGCTGCTGTTGTTATTGTTGCGGTTGTTGTTGGGAGGTCGAGTGGACAACTAACTTACCATGCTGCCGAATGCTGTACCGCATCACAAACAGACACCACTTTTCGCACATACTGTAGAGCAACCAGCTGATGCCATTCCTATATATCTGTCCACTTTCGCACCTGGCTATAGAACAGGCAGACAGCAGGCTGGAGTAGCATCCTATGCTGGCATTCATGTCATGCCGGTTCGGTTCGGTACAGTTCAGTTGAGTTGTCATGGAAGTGAAGGAGAAGCGATGATGCCCGGCACCGACAAACCAGTCGCTGCACCTGCACGTACGTTCTCTGTGATGTCCTCCTGCATATTATTTGTGTTTGCTGCTTGTTCGTCTCGAAAATGTCCTTGATTTTCATATGCCCTGTGAATTGGGGGAGGCTAAAGGTAAAAAGCAGCAGGTGCCTGCCAGCCTTTTCGCTGGCATTTCAGTTCAGATAGAGAAAGATGCATATGCGGGATCCAGTATTCCAGTCCAGTGCAGATTGGGAGTATCGTTTGCTAGTGCTCACCAAATCTCAGATAGTATAATACGGAGTATTAGTAAATTAACGTCGCCTGCTTGAGATTGCGACAAGCGCAGCACGCATTGCTACAGCATTTGCGGCTCATGACTGACGCAATAACAAGCTGTCCCAATATCCATCTCCCTAGCAGCCATTGAATGTGTTTGGAAACTGAAAAGGATATATAAACTCCATCAACAATAATGCTACATATCAGGATTCAGGAGAGAGAGAGAGAGAGAGAGAGAGAGAGAGAGAGCGACAGATGGTATCGGATTAATCATAGATAGATACCCCTGCTGTAGTAGGTAGTTAGTGCAACCGTTGCACCATCATCTCCTCTAAAATGCTCATCGGTACGACTATTCTGTTGTTTAGTACTTGGACAGAGTCTCCCTGTTAATGAAATGATGTCGCTACACTGACGTCTTCATTAGTATAGCATCTCACTGAAGTATGTTTGTCCTCCCCACTTGTAAACTGAAGTTAATGAGACACATGACAACTCTATACAAAACAAAAAAAAAGGTTAGGAGTATAATACAGCGACACAGTGTTTGTTGTGTCAGGAAAAGTTCGTTGGACAGTACTAGCGTACTTCATCATCACTAGTCTAATAACCGGTATGTGTGCATCAGGAATAATAAGCAAAGGGATTTTTATTGGAGTTGCCTCTTTAAATTTTACAGAGCGAGCAGCACTATCTTGTTTGATTAGATATCTTGCCAAACCTAGTTATTAGGTTTTCCAACCAATTTGCCTGGCCAGGTTTAACAAGAAAGATGAAGCAATGATGGAGGGAGGGGTGGCTATGGCTGGTAGGGAGGTTAGATCAGATGGGAGAATGGACATGCAGCCTAGTAGTTACAGTGACCTGAGTAGTACCCCAAGGTTCTGAGTTCAAATCTTCATAGGAGCGAATTTCAGATTGGATTATTTGAGGACTAAATTCTATATTTGATAGGCCAAGTTTCTAGCTTAAAAGTGTTGCATATATCCGGTTGGATTTAGAGGCCGGGTAAAAAAAAAACCCCTTCTTAAGAAAAAGGGAGGTTAGATCAGATGGGAGAATGGACAGGCCTCGCCGACACATTTCTGAGGATCAAAGCCCACGCCTTCTTTTATCATTATTACAACTGCCAAGTAAGGCCTAAGGATTAAGGTGCATTAACTTTGCAAGAGATTATTAAAGCAAATCACTGACTCGCAGAATGTGAAGGCACATACTTGTAATTAGCAGTTTAGCAATTGCTGATAAATTGATAATGAGCCACGGGCGATTCGTTGGGCTCACTTGTCTTTGGCTACTCAGTGTCCTTCAGGCAATCAGGGCTGCAATTTAATTAGCGGCCAATAACCCTGGTCGTGCATAGTGTAAAATTTGAAGAAATTAAGCACCGCACGTGTTTCCTTCTGGAGACATCATTTTAAGACATGAATACTCATATACTAGTACTACTATAGTATTGCATCTGGGTAAGACCAAATGATCAGATAGAAGAGAATAAGAGTTGGAAGAAAATTAAGATTTTCAAAATATGTTTTTTAAACTGCTAAACGGTGTGTTTTGTGCAAAAATTTTCTATATGAAAGTTGCTCTAAAATATCATATTAATCTATTTTTCAAATTTGTAATAATTAAAACCCAATCAATCATACGTTAATACCACCTCATTTTACGTAAAAAAACTTAATCTTCATCTTCTTTATCTTCAAGAGAAAAGAACACATTATCCAATACAGCAAAGTATCAGACGCAACACACATGGCATGAGTAGAGTAGGTTTGCAAGTCAAGATGTGCTAGACAATTCAGTTGCTGATTCGGTCTTAAATAACAATGAAGATTTGGCGGGGAGGACCAACCAGATTGAGGTTAGATGTGTGTAAGAAAACAATCCATCTAATTCTATCGACTCGCTGATAAGATATCCAAACCCAGCATCGCAATCCACATCATAGCACCCTTCCGTAGAACACAAGGGAGGTTAGTTTAATTGCGGAAATATGCATATCCATTTTCCATCTTTGTACTCCTGCAGGCTCTAGTGCAGTGCACCCCAGGCAAGTGACTTTATACGCCACTGAAATTGCTAGGTCCACCACTCATTTATGTTGGACCAACTCTTCTCGCCCTAATCCATTTCTGAACTAAATTAGCCATAATCAATTACTGAAGTAATCCACTCTCAATTGAACTGAAAACTGAGAAGATACGTATTGGAAATGGCAAGCACTCTCAATTGTTTTTGCACTCTTGTAAACAAATCGACAAAAACCTGATATGCCATGGTTAGATGTTGGTGGACAACTCTATCCGTAGCTAAGAAAATCTCCATGCCATCACCATCTCAATATTACTACTTGACAAGATGGAGCCCTTTTTGGGCTCTCACTAGCAGAACAGAACAAACAAAACGGTAGATATCAATCACCCTCAATGCAAAACCAATCTCTTTATACTCGTATACTCCTATGATACTTTCATATCTGGGCACCTACAACTACAAACACCTCAAGACCCACGAGATTATATCATTGCTACAGGCTCAACACAGAATTTATCAAGGGCTCGCTTCAGCTTTTGCCTGCAGCTAGCAATTACTTTTTGTGCGAGTGGGGAAAAGTGGTGCGTGGGACACTGGCCGAAAGTCCATTTTGCTTGTGCAAGCCATGTGGTGTGGGCTGCTACAGCGCCATTAGCTACCTTACCTAGTTAGTTAGTGTTGCCTTCGCTCCAGTCCACTCTTCACAGCAGGGCGAGAAGAGAAGTAGGAGTAACAGAAAACAGAAGAGGGGAGAGAGGAAAAGCTACTAGAACTGACCGAGGCTTGTGCAAGAAAGGCTTCTGATTCCTTCCGTCATCGTTGCCAAAAGGAAGCACAGCTCAGGTCCTAGCATCTCTTCACATGGCCAACAACATGTCCTGAAGAATTTTAATGCTCGTCTTCATCTGGTTTCTTGGTTCAGACTTCAGAGTGGTGAAGTTCCCTGCGATCTCTCGGTTATCACGTAAGTTTCGCATGAAGCAATATCTGTGGATTTGAGGAGTTTTTAGCATATCTTCCTTTGATAATTTTGCTTGGTTTTGACAGTACACAAATTAATAACAGAACACTGGAACCTGTTGGTTTTATGCTGCCAGTTTGCTGCATTTCATCTTCTCTTGCTCCTGCAAAATCTCATTTCTTTTGTTCTTTCATTCTTGGCTTGCATGGTTCATCGGGATGAATCCTAAGTGTTCATCAGCTAACTGCAGAGTTTCTCTCAGGAACCAAACCTGCTGCAAGAGGATTAGCTCAATGAACTAAACTGCAGAGAACATCAGGCATATTTCAATTGCAAAGTGTAGAGGAACAAGCCAACTAACATGGGGAAGAGAAGTCAAAGACTGGCTAGGCGTCAGGAGAACATAGGCTGCATGTGGGGCCTCATCGGCATGCTCTATTTCCGACGTGACGCTAAGTTTCTGTTGGACAGGAAGCAAGGAAGCAGAAGGCACACTTTCGGTGGGCTTTCAGGTAATTCTCTCCAGGTTCATGGTTAAAGTAAAATGTAATACCTGATGAACATGATGACAATGCAAATAGGATCGTGATCATGATCTGAGCCACTTACTTTGCTGGTAGAACTCTGAGGATATGGTTTTGAAATTTAATATGCATTGTGGTCATCTGCTATACAAGAGACTGAAAACAGAATATGTAAAGCATTCTTATTATTATCTCCAGAAAAAAAAACTGATTACTGTCAGTAAATATGAAAGTCGACAATTTTGCTTCTCGTTTGTTTGATTACCATTACTAAGCAGTTTGTGAAATTGTGTCAACTATGTGCAGCAATATAAGTAATGCAGCACCTGCATGGCAATACAATCAATCTATGATATTTGACCTTCAGTAAACATTTTTCTGATGTCATAGACTGTCAATAAATCCCTCTAATCTACATTTCGGAATCATCTGGCAAATATGAAGGCATTCAAGAAAAATATTTAGTTATCATAATTTGTATATCTTCTTACAACTCTGCATGGTCGCAGGTAGGAGGCACTCAAGAAAGAAATCCAGGGACTTTGAAGAAACAGATGAATATGGGGAGGATGTAAGTTATTTTAGTAAGTATGTAATTTTAATGGTAAAAAGCATAGATGCTCATGCTGGTGGTTGCTGTTGTCTGCTTTTGTTAACACCACGAATATGCAACAGAAGTCTAGTGATCCTAACCATACTTGACTATTCAGTTACTTGTGTAACAAAATAATTTTGATGAATGGAACTGAAAGTGCCATATTGATGTTAATGGCAGTCAATTCCTTCATGCTAAGTGTTTTCTTCAGAGCCAGAACATATCTAGAGCAAGTATGGAGAAAAGAAGTCGTCCAAAATCCAAATGCAACATATGAACTTGGTACTGCTTCGAAAACATGCACGGGAAAGTTTAGCTTAATGCAAGTTGTGGAACAATAAACTTAAAAAAAAAAGCATGACAAAATGATCCCACATATACTTCTTTTTGCCTACTTATCATGTGTAGGCTTGGATTTAGCAACCATTATTCCTTCTTTGATGAAAGGGACTTGATTCAAGCATTCTGCATTAACCAGCAGAGAAGAAAAAATTTGAGTAGACAGTACTAGCAATCTTTACATTGTAATCTGTTGGGTGAGTTCTAAAACCAGATTTGCTTCAAGTGTATGTTGGCATGGTAAACATCAAATAGTTTTAACTGATATAGCTTTCCATCAAGCTTATGTTTATCATGTAGACAGTACTACCTATTTCTTTTGATGCATGTTAAAGATTACTTCTTGGAATAAGTGTATTGTTCTTATATTTCTCAGAACATAGAGGAATGCGACACAAGGAAACAAACCGTCAAAAGACTCATGGAGGACGAGCTGGGTAAGGTAAAACAGGTGAAAAAGATTCCCAAGGAAGAGGTTCAAAGAATATTAGCTGACCTGGGACATGATGTCTGTCTGGAAAAAAGTTCAATGCAGAGCACCAAACAAAACAGAGCCAAAAGTCACAGCACAAGCACAGCCATGGCTTCTCCGTCTGGTTTGCTGGATCCAAGTGGTTCCAAATCCATGAAACAGGCAGAAGAAGATGATCTTGAACTTTCTTTAGCAGATTTTGTGGGAGAACTCTATGGGTACCATGATGATTGCAAAAATAAGAGTGAACTGTGTCCAGAATTGAAGTCACATATCCATACAAAGCTTAGTGAGTTGAAGAGTGTGCCCTGTCAACGTGCTTATGAGGAATCTCCAGACTGGGGGCAAAGGGAGCATTTCTATGAAAAATATATTTGTAACAGCAGATCTTATCAATCTAACAAACTAGTAGATGCACCAGATATGCTAAGCCCAGAGAAGGAACTTTTCTTGAAGACACTTCAGAAACCGAGTCCGCATACTTTGGAGAAGGAGAACACCCAAAATAATCAAAACAGACAGGTAGTGACCAAGTTAGAGCCAAGGAAAATTCTTGAAAAAGGTGAAAATACTAAGAATTCAAAACAGCACGAGGTAGCCATCAAAACACATAGTAAAGAGGGCAGGAATATCTTTTTCTGGAGGAAAGATAAATCAATTATGAAGGGTACATCAGAAGGAACTAATAGTAGTAAGATGGTTAACAAAATAGTTATACTAAAGCCAAATCCAAGAGGGATCGATACTACTGTAGCTACAGCCTCTACATGTTTAGATCAGCAATCATGCACAATTCAATCTCCAAAATACCCTGCAACAGAGAGTTCTAAATTTTCAATTAAGGAAGTCAGGAGGAGATTCAAAATTGTGACTGGTGATACTAGAAGAGGAAGACCATCAGTGTATGAAGATGATTTACAAAGAGATTCACAAAGGATCAATGATTCAGTCTTTAAAGTCAGAAAGGATTCTAAACAGTCAGATAAGGACAATTTGAGACCTTTGACCAGTGGTAAGCAAAAGCAAAGGAATGATGGACTAGGTGAAATTAACGGAGACATAATTACATCAAAGGATACATCCATCTTCTATGAAGAGGCGAAGAAACATCTGACAGACATTCTAGAGTATAACAGTCATACAACCAAGCATCCAACAGTTCATACCTCAAAGTCCTTGATAGGAATGCTTTCCCTCCCTCAACGCAACGCATCATCACCTAGGAGTAGCCCCAGGTTAAAAGGCCGCATTGACCTTTCACCCGAAGAGATAAATATTTCTGCCATTCAACAGGATGAGAGGACAGAATATGCAAAAGAAAGAGATCTGTCTGACGAAGATTCAGGGAGTGTTGCATGTGGTAATAGTGAAGTACTAGATGGTAAGGCTGATCAGGATAGACACTCCATGAAACAAGAAACTGCACAAGATGGTGAGTACATAATACCATAGTCATTAAAATTATCAAATATTACGTGGCTCTTCTCTAAGCACAAAGGAATATTTGCAGGTGACATTATGCATATTGAAGAAATCGACAAGCCGGCTTGCTCCGAAACGATTTGCAGTGAAGGGATCACCCTAAAAGAGCAGTGTACATGTACCTCATCACTAGTATGTTCACACCAATACTTAGTGATATTCCATCTGGTCTCCATTGTTGTTTTGAGTTATAATGTGTTTATCTACACTGCAGGAACTGATTGAAGGAGCCGAACCTGGCAGAGAGCATGCAGGGATGTTGCTGAGCTATCCTGAGAATGTGGTTGAGAGCCTAGAACACCAAGAGCCAAAAACTCCCAGATCAAGTGCATCACTTGAACTTATATCACAAATTTCACCCGAAGGGAACCACGAAAAGCAAGAGCAACCCAGCCCTGTATCTGTCCTTGATCCATTCTTCTGTGAAGATGTTGACAGTCCTGACCATGAAACTATGATAAAATGTATCTTCTCATCTAAACATATCAAAATTACATTTCCTTTTGACCTTAAGAAAATATGTGTTCTAATCTAAAGGTGATGTATTTTGGTCTTGCAATTATCCACAGGTGAGATGCATCAAGATATGATGAGGCCCCACATACCAGATGCTATATCAGACCAATGGGTCTTCTGGGAGGACGAGGATGCCAGGCTAAGTTACATAAAGGCAATGCTGGAGCTATCAGAACTATGCACATACCAAAATCTAGAGGTGTGGTATCTAGAAGATGAATTGATCAGCCCTTGCATGATTGAAGAACTACACCAAGGCAATCAAACAGATGATCTAAAGCTCCCTTTTGATTGTATCTGTGAAGCTATAACAATAATCCAGGAGACATATTTTAGAAACCCTCCTTGCTTATCTTTTCTCATGCACAAGATACAGCCACCTCCAATGGGAGAGAACCTCATCCAAGAAATAAATAAGCATATCGAGAGACATCTCCATAATCAATTTCCAAGAACATTGAACCAGCTAGTTAACATAGATCTGGAAGATGGCACTTGGATGAATCTTCAATTGGAAAGTGAAGAGATTATTGTTGATACATGGGAGTTCATACTAGATGAACTATTAGAAGAGGTCGCTAATGATTTGTTGATTTGAAGCTTCAATTTAGTCACTGCTGGTATTTTTCTCTGCTATTTGTAGAATGGATATAGAATGGGTAGAGTCATGACTCATAAGTAGAAGTTATGTTGATGACAGTAAGCTGTCCGCATGACAGAATCAAGAGGACCAGTGGACCAGACAAGTATTGTGTGATTTTACTGCTTGTTAGTTTGATTGATACATCTTGGGAGCCTAAGAACAGTAGGATCTTCCTGACACTGAAAGATGCCAGTGCAGCATAAATGCATAATGCCACAGACTCCTCATCCATGCACTGCAGATAGATTTAACAGAGTTGGAAGGTGATAGTTCTGTACAATATTATGCAGCTGACTAAAGAATCTTATGTTGTCCTTCCAATCCTTGTGTGAATTCTTGTTATTGTGTGTATAAGTGTGTAACAGTGTACAGTTGTGTGTGAAAAATCGAAGGATACGTTTTCAGAAAGGCGCGCATGTGTCCTCTTAGCATATATAACTAATCAAAGAATGAAAGAATGTGATATTTCAGATGGAACTTAGTTTTTTTTTCCTGCTTGAGCAACCATAGTGATAGATTGACATATGGCGAATGCAGGTATACAATTTTACTTCTGGTCTTTGAATCATCCTGATCCACTAGGATATCTTTGTAATTCGAGTTACTGATTGTCCCAGAAATGTGCCCCAGAAAACACTGGTGCTAAGAGTTTAAGCTTAGACTTTATTTTTATCCTTTTAAAAGACTACTGCACTACAGACAAAATAAACAAAGTGGTGTTCTTGAAGATAGTTAGGTGCCAAAAATTTATTGCTTGTTTATCTGACCAACATAAAGTTCATCAATATTCAGCATATGATCTTACGCATCAAAGTGATGTCAGTTGAACTGTTGAGCTGACTACCCCAATTGGTGTGCTGATAAATGTTCTATACTCTGTTCCTAACTTGTTTTGATTTTGCTGACTAAATATTAGATAATGGACAGCTTGGCTGAAATGATCATGTAAATAGGAGTTGGCAAAGAAGATGTAAATAGGAGTTGGCAAAGAAGAGAAGATTCTGACACTAAGGCCTTGTTCGGTTCGGAAGGGATTGAAGAGGATTGGAGGGGATTGAGAGTGAATAATTCCATTCTACAATAGGTGTGGAACAAATCCCCTCCAATCCTTTTCTCATGGGGATTAACCGAACATGGCCTACAGGGTTCTTGAGTTATGATTACTAGTATTACCACTGGTACTACATAGTCCTGAACTCCTGATGTATAAAAACAAGGGTAATTAAAAAACAAATCCTGAAGTATATGTGGAGCAGAAAAATACATATACCTGAAAATAGACACATGAAAGGATGGCAACACAGCTAATCGCATGATGTAAAACCGTGACAGATAATGTTTATTGGGCAGTGCGATACAACAAGATCCACAGGGAGGGACCAAACAAATCAAGCTGCTTGGAATCTCCCACGCGTTGGGGTCGTTCGATTAGTTTAGACGCCCAGATAACTGTCGCATCGAATCGAAATATCAAACGGAAATCGGACTGCGAGTAGAAGAGGAGCGATCGACTCACCGTGCGTGCTTAAGGAGGGAGGAAGCGAATGCCCTAGCGACGGGGGAGAGATCACCCAAACTCCTCCTCACTCTCACTCTCTCTCCGCCTCGCCAATGCGCGCGGCGGCGACGAATGTCTCAGAAACCCTGTGGAATTCCCCATTTTCCAAATCACGCAACTGTTGTAGCTGTAGCTGCGGAAAATCTTAAACTTACTTTCCTAAAAAAAAAGCCTCAAAAAGGGTGATTTGGAATTCCCCAAACCTGAAACTAATTTTTCTTAAAAAAAATATCTCACGTTTTGTCAGTAATCTGAGGATAAAAAGACCTACATACATATAGGTAGGTCTAAATTGTTGAAGGAACATGTATATAGTCATACGTTAAGTTGCATCTTATGGATTTCATGAGACTTTCTCTGGTATAGACTTATATGTATGCGCCTATGCTATGATTCATATGCATTTGTGATGGCTATTTCAGCCATATTTTGTTCAAACTTTTGTATGAAACAAACTCGTGCAAAAACTGATACTAAAATTATCAACGGAAGGACAGTACTTGAGATATTTGTAATGTTATATCTTCTCTGGCACGTCGGAAAATCCTTGAGTTGAAGCTTTTCTTTATATCCAATTTATTTGAAAAGATAGAAAATATGATTTGGGAGTATATGATTGCCAGAAAAGGGACGAATGAACGAAGAATATATAAAAATCAGCTAGTGTGGGATGGGATCTCGAATTTTCTGTATTACTAATGTACCAAAACTAGACCAAAAAAAGAAATAATAGTGTTTTCTTTTTAAACTTGTATTACGTCTTTAATTTTTTGTTGGGTCTAAAAAAGCGAAACAATCGCTTGTTACATGTGCCCTGGAAAGTGCCTCCACGTGTCAGTCATCCAGATGGCTCCGGTAAAAGAAGAAAAAGGAAGGCAAATTGGCGAAAGCCCCATCCGTTCCTCCGCCACAAACCAAACGCCAATTAATGGCTTGACCAACCACCGCGCGCGCCGCCGTCTTTCGCCGACGCCGAGGAGGCCGGCCATGGCGGCGCCGCCCAGGCCCATACCCTCCATCCACCGGCAACCGCCCAAGCCAACCACCACCCACGTCGCCCGCTGCTTCCGCGACCCGCCCAAAGCCCCCGACACCAACAGCAACACCAACCCGCTCCTCTCCCTCCTCTCCGCCGTGCCCGACTGGGCCGACGCCGTCTCCGAGCGCCGCATCCGCGACCGCCGCCCGCTCTACACCCACGCCGACTGGCGGGAGCACCGCAGCTCCCGCCGCCACCTGCGCCACCTCCTCTCCTCCCTCACCTCCCGCGTCATCCTCTCCCTCGCGCCCCCCGTCTCCGCCTTCACCGCCTTCGCCGCCGCCATTGCCACCTACAACACCCTCCTCCCCGCCTACGCCCTCACCGCCTCCTCCCTCCCCTACCAGCTCACCGCCCCCGCCCTCGCCCTCCTCCTCGTCTTCCGCACCGAGGCCTCCTACGCCCGCTTCGACGAGGGACGCAAGGCATGGATGCGCGTCATCGCCGCCGCCGCCGACCTCGCCGGGATGGCCATGCGCCACCACAACCCCCCTGCCACGCGCGCCCTCCTCAACTACATTCTCGCCTTCCCGCTCGCGCTCAAGGTTTTGCTCTTGCATATGTTTTTTTTTTATATATTTAATTCTGTATTTATTTATTTATTTTTCTACTGTATACTACCAGTGATTCAATTTGGTAACTTCACTCTCTGAAATTATATTTCATGCAGTTACCTTTCACTAGTCTCTGAAAACATAGACCAGCGTTTGTTTTCATGCAATTATGCCTGATTTAGTTAGCTTTCACTCACTAGCGCGGCAACTGATGATATCATTCGTGTTCTTGCCTCAGTGTCATATAATCTGCCATTCGGACATAAAAAGGGACCTTCAGGGTTTGCTCTCAGAAGATGACTTGAATGTTGTTCTCAGATCAAAACATCGTCCTCGCTGTATTATTGAGTTCATTTCACAGAGCCTCTATATGTTGGATTTCGATGAAAATAAGCGGAATATCATGGTAAGTTGGTAACTCTTCTATCTCTACCTGCAGATTTCTTGTCTTGCCAATTACCTGTAACATAACTCAACATCATTTTTTTTTTGTCTTGGGCCACTGATACCATCCATTGTGCATTGATCCAATGTTCAATCTTACTTTAGGTGTATTTACTTATTGTTATCTTCATTGTCTTGTGAGAGTTACCACCCGTTGATCTGCAAACGCTAGACTTACTTCAAGTCTAGTAATCCATAATGGTACAATCTAATGCTGTTTACTTTTCTTGATTGTAGGAGTCTAAACTATCTTGTTTTCTTGAAGGAATTAGTGTTTGTGAGCAGCTCATTGGGATTCCTATTCCTCTCTCATACACTAGACTCACTTCCAGATTTCTTGTTCTGTGGCATCTCACGCTTCCAGTGATACTCTGGGATGAATGTAAATGGATAGTCGTTCCAGCTACTTTTATCAGTGCTGCCTCTCTATTCTGCATTGAGGAAGTAAGTCTCAACTTATTTTTCAACCCCAAGTTGTGCTTCCATTTAAAACTGTTCAAAATTGTGCCTTGGTAGCTACCAGCTGCAGGCAGCAATTGGCCATGGTTTTGAAGACATTGGTGCATTTCAAAACAGTGATGGCTGCCCCTTCTAGAACCTGGTTACAGGATTAGTTTTAGTGTGGTTTTAGGATGCATTTATCAATATAGTCTTGCCTGGTTTTGCTTATGCTCGTCTTTTTATCAGTCTAAAATTAGTCATAACTACACATATGTGGTTTGTCTTTGGAGTAACATGGAAAGGCAGCTGCAGGTGGTTGAGAATCGGGTTGTCCTAATTTTGGGAAACTCAGTGTATATTGCTCAGCAATTAGCCAACCTCTGCTTGTCTTCAACCACACGAGATCTTAGTGAATATGTTTCTTACTACTTTATTGTGTCAAAATGTTTAGGGTACTTGTTTAGCTTTGATGCTTGAGAGGAGAGGATTCTTAAAGAATGTAGTCTGTTTTTCTTCATTGTGTTTCACCAGAAACTTGATAATCTTGCTTCAGCAGCTGTTCCCATTTCCCCATTCCCTACCTGTATTGTACTACCACTAACCCAGTAGCACATACTCACATTTCAGGTTGGTGTTCTTATTGAGGAGCCATTCCCCATGCTAGCTCTAGACGAGCTGTGCAAGCAGCTCCATGACAGCACGCAGGATGTGATGTCGGTGCAAAATTTGGTTCACAATCGACTAGCCGCCAAGACAAAGGACCAAGACAGTGGCAGCATGCGATGTTCAGACAACGGGTGGCCTAGCTCCAAAAGCGAACAAGCAAAAATTGATTGAGCAAAGGTGCGGAATTATGAAGGCTATACTAGTACATGTCATTGCAAAGCAATAAAGGCCTTGTTGGTTCAATATCAAGCAAGGTATAAATCGATGGTGTGCATATGTACCCTGGCTGCATATTTGCCATCCCATTCGCAGGTCCATTTTGGTACATGGATGTACTCCAGTACGAGAGCTAGGATTTCATCATCCAATGTAAAATTGATTAAGCGATCAGATGCGGTGACCTTACGTAGCCTAGTTTGCTGGAGGAAGCATGCGTGTTACGGATGTAGAGAGATATGGTGAATAGTTCCTAGATGTGTGTATATATGTAGAAAAGATTTTGACGAGCCGTATCAGCCCGTATGTAAAGATTTGACATTACGTACTGTTATGTTGTTATTGCCAAACAGAATACAGTAGCTGGTGGAAGGGCTTTGACATGAAGAGAGTTGTCGTTTAGTCCTTCCTCTTTTATGGTCCTAAAATATACTCCCTCCGATTTAGGTTATAAGACATTTTGACTTTGGTTAAAGTCAAACTGTTTTAAGTTTGACTAAGTTTATAGGAAAATATAGTAATATTTATAATACTAAATTAGTGCCATCAATTCAATAATTGAATATATTTTCATAATAAATTTGTCTTGGGCTGATAATGTTACTACTTTTTTCTATAAACTTGATCAAAGTTAAAGCAGTTTGACTTTGATCAAAGTCAAGACATCTTATAACCTGAAACGGAGGGATTAGCTATCTCATACATGATGAGATATTATTTATTAGGTACTCTCTCCATTTTATATTATAAGATCTTCATTTCATATTATAAGATGTTTTGGTCTTTTTACCCCACCGTACTACCGTATATATAAATATGAACACACATATATAAACCATATATATGCATAAATCTATTTAAAATCCAAAACATCTATAAGAGGTAGTTATATTTTGGACATGGTTGTACAAATTGATGGAGATAGTGTAAGGGTGTTCACAGTGCGCGGAGGTGGCATTCAGCCTTGACCATCAATGTCGTAGATCTGTCGCCACGCACACGTCTGCTGTTTTCCAACTAAAGACCACAGAGCCAAACTAAGCTAAGCATTCTTTGTCAGAATTTGGTAGGTGTGGGGTAAGGCGCGATGTGAGTGGCGCGTTGGGAGAGGGTATGGCCCCGTGCGACACCCCCACACCCCGTGCAAGGCCTGGCGGTCGTTAATGAAGCTACCACCCTGAGCATCTTTGTTGCCCCCAAAGCGATGTCGTTCGCCAGATCCGACAAACCCGAGGCCAGATCTAGCGAGCTCGACGAGGAAGCGATGGTGGCATAGGGCGCAATAGATCTGGCAACTAACCTTGTTTTCATCGTTGTTCCATTCCACCTCAGACCATAGCAGCGGCAGCTTGATGGAGAGGGCCGCACCACCAAATCCGCCCCCCGTTCGCATGTCGCCGAGCTCCTGTTTGTGCTATGCCCTGCTCCCACTAGCCACCGAACCTGCCAAGGGATGAAGGCCGCCGGTTGGAGGAGGAGAGGTGGAGCCCTTCCCGACGCTGGCACCATCACCGCTCCGCTCGGGCTCGCCGAACGAGTTGCCTCGCTTCCTCTATCAGGGAAAACATAGAGATGAGAGAGAGTGGAGGAGAGAGATTGGTAGGATCTCCAATAGAGCATGTATCTAACACCATTTTTTTAAGAGTAAATTTCGCTTTGGACCAGTTCTTTTTACCAGAGTTTCACAATGGACCAGGCCTAACATTAGGTTTTCACTTAACACCATATAATTTTGCACTAGATTGCACTTTGGACTAGGGGTTGGTGATTTGGGATAGGATGTTGGCTGTGGCCCATCCACGTTAGCAGGCAACAACCTCTCTTCTTGGGCACCAGCATTGCTGATCCGGCCACCGCCAAGTAACAAGGATGTGGGTGAGCTCTGCACGTGCATCACAGCCGAGAAGGTGCGGCAAGTGGGAGAAGCAATGATCTCGGACGACAAGAATGTGCTTGGAGATTGTTGGGGTCACCGGTCACAGAACAGAGAGATCGGCGACGGTCTTGAATGGGTCGCGGACGTGGAGACGTTGGATCCAGACAAAGAGATGTTGATGGTGGTAGCTGGGTCATTGATCCAACAAGGACGTGATGTGGTGGCTGGGTTGAGGTACCGTAGCCTTGGCGATGGCTGTGGCTTGGCTTTGGCGGAGGCGACGACAGCGCACAACCAAGGCAAGAAGATGGCTAGCAGCTGCAGTTCTGCCTGCTTGTGTAGATGGGCCAGTTCAAATTGCTAGCCTAGTCCAAAGTGCAATCAAATGCAAAAACATATGGTGTTAAGTGAAAACTTTGTGTTAGCCCTGGTTCTTTGTGAAACTTGGATCAAAAGAACTAGACCAAAGTGAAATTTACTCTTTTTTTTTATCTAGGTGGTATATGAGGTTTGGCAAAATTTGGTAGCGTACTGCTACTGCCCTAGGCTCTCGATGCTTATAGCACTGCATCTTTTTCATGAAAGAGAGCAGGTTGCCAACGCTAAACAACGACAACAACATGACAGATCTTCTGATAATAATACTATAATCACTGATGGACAAGATGGTTTTCATTACTTACTCCTAGTAACAAGAAGATTAGGCGGGCAGGCAGGCAGGCAGGCCTAATAATTAGAGATGTGTGGTGATGCAGGGGAAAAGGGGAGAGAAATGATTGGCAACCCGACGTGGTGTAGTGACCAAAATTTAGGTAACGAAACGTAAGCAGTGGCGCCCTGAATGTGAATCGATCATCGCTGTCGGGGTGGTCACGGCGTTCCTTTGTTTGTTTGATGCAGCTACTACTCCAGTAGTGAAAAGATTGGACTCGTAGTAGGAGTACATCAGCAAGAGACAGATGAGCAGAAGAAAGTATAGAAGCCAGCAGGAGTATTAGAAGTATAGGACACCTGCCATGCCATTACCCTTACCCTGTTCAGTTTAATTAAGTACTAGTACTTGTAGTACTATGCTGGTGCTGATGTTGTGTTGGCAAACAGAGTCTGACAGACAGAACCTTGCTGGTGAGCTTAGTTAGGCCCAGTATTATTATTGACAAAAGAGATGGAGATTTCCTCATTTCCATCTGAACTGGAGTAGTAGTAGTAGTACTTATAACTAACCTTAGTTAGGCCCAGCATTATTATTATTGTTGGTGATGGGTACGTGAGCCATCAAGTTTGAAGTTGCAACCAACAGGACTACACAAAGCATGCATGTCAATATGTCATATGGCAACCCCATTCATTTCGACCCGGGGCCCGGCACCGCACTGTAGCGACCAACAAGGAGAAGATGAATGAAGGGAAGGCAACCAACAACGAGGGTGTGTTCGGTACCAAGGGTTTCCAACCCTTCTCCATCGTATTTCGCGCGTATGTTTTTGAAACTGCTAAACGGTGCGTTTTTATAAAAAGTTACTATATGAAAGTTGCTTAAAAAATCATATTGATCCATTTTTGAAAAAAAATTAGATAATAATTAATTAATCACGCGCTAATGAACTACTCCTTTTTCCGTGCTTGGGTGATAGGTTCCCATCCATCAGCAGCGAACACACCCTCAGTAGCGGTCCCTTCCTTCATCTTCTCCCTCGTTGTCGCGTCGGCAACCCATTACTCCAACAGGGCATGCGGGGTAAAATGGTACTCCCTCCGTCCCAAAATATAAGAAGTTTTAGAGTTGGACACGGTTATTAAGATAGTAGGTAGAAGTAAGTGGTGGAGGGTTGTGATGGGATGAATAGTGAAGGTAGGTGGAAAAAGTGAATGGTGGAGGGTTGTGATTGGTTGGGAAAAGAATGTTGGTGGAGAAGTTGTTATATTTTGGAACAAATCCTAATGGCTACAAGTTGTTATATTTGGGGACGGAGGCAGTAAATGATTCAGATTGCTTCAAATGACCATTCAAACACTACTCCCTCCGTCGCTTCATTCTAACAGAGCCATCGCTTCCCTTATTTGCGAAATGGCATATTTACAAACGAAAAATAATTTATAAAAAGAACTTTTATATACATGTTCTTATTGATTTAAAAACAAAGATTGAAAAATAAATTTCGATGAAAAACCTCAGAATCAGCTCCAAATTTAATGTTGAAAAATTATATTTTGGCTGATAAGTATAAGCGAAAAGATGAGCCCCTAAGAGCAAGTTTAATAGTATAGCCAACTACTAGCTCTAATTCATCTATAGCCAATCTAATAGCTTATCCATACAATAGTTACATACTACACTATTAATACCTGGTCCCGCCAGTCATACACATACCGCGCCTTGGAGTCCGTGCTACAGCTGGCTACAAATCTATAACTCGCTGCTCTTCTCTCTCCTTATTTATCTTCTTAAAATATGTTTGCAGCTGGCTTATAACCTGCTATTATACCTACTCTAAAATATAATAAATTTTAGCCTTCAACATATGTGATTATGAATAGAGATATAAAAAAATTGGTAAGAATTAGTACTGTATATTCAAAATCTAAAAGTTTTTGTATCTTGTAATGGAGAATTACATGGTAAATCACCCCAATTACCTTACTCTCATCCTCACAATCACTCAAAAAAAACAGGGTAAATACGTGCTGCGAGTGGCAAGGCCAAGAACAGAGAACGCATTTGATTAATGATGATTAGTACTAATAGATTAGCAGCGGGAGGTAGAGATCCCTCGAGACAGTAGGGGATTAGGACCTAATTAACCCCTACCGCCACCTACGACTACTTTTTTACTGTTTATTATTATTTACTACTATTGTTATTATAATTTACTCCTACTAGTACTAGTCTTTTCCTCTTTAGTTGCCTGTCCCTTCTCCAGTTCTCCCTCATTTCGCTTTGGCTTCCTCCTCGACCAAAAGCGCACACAACACAAGCAAGAAAGAGTGAGAGACAAGCATGCATACATTAGATTAGTGATGATACAAGTAGCCGCCAAGAGCATTTTAGTGGAGGAGTATTGAGTGTGAGGGAACCTCCTGCTCCCCCAATTCAATGTCCTCCTCCTCCTCCTCTTGCTCCCCTTCCACTTCCTGGGAAAAAGCCTCTTGATCTCCCACTCTCTCTCACCCTCTCCGCTTCCAGCCGACTTCCGCCCTGCAGGTAAAGGTAAGTTCATCTTCTTGATCCTACCTTTGGATTCACCTTGGGTTGGCGGCTGATGCGGTAATGCTACTGTTTCGGTATCTTAAGATGCGATTTTTTCGGGCTGAATGAATGTGGCTAGTTCGTCTACGGCGAAGAATCTTCGCTTGTTGCAGAAACAAAAGATTCTTCATTTCCGGCTGAATAATTTCTCCAGTTTGCCTCAACAACCAAAACCCCTTGCTTTTAGGTGTCTTGTTCAATTTTCACCATTTTAGGTTGCCAACTATTTCTCTTGTTTGTTTCTTGAGATCTGTTATCCATTTGCCTCGTTTGTTATTCTGAACGGAGATATAAAAATTTCCTATCTGGAGCATATAGAATGGAAGCATCTAGAGTTGGTAGGGGCTCATCATCTTCTTAGTTCGCTTTTCCTTTCCCTTTGTTGGTATGGTATTCTCTTTTGCCTCCCACGAGAACAAAGCGATGTGACATGTGCTTCTCATCTATTTTTTTCCCCAATTCAGATCGCCTTTTCTTTTTCTTTTTCCCATTCTCCTCTTCTTTTTGACTTAAGATGCACATACCTGACTTATGTTTCTTCTTGTGAGGTCAGGATTTTAGAGGATTTAACACCATTTGCGTCCTTTTGTTCATCTAGTTGCAGTGCATTTCGTTCCATTTATTCTGTTCGACTAGTACAAATTGTGGAGCTTAATCTTTCACCTTGTGTCCACATGTTAGGTTTCAGCAATGAGGCAAGATGTTGCCTCCAAATGCGACAGCCGTTCTCGGTCAGGAGCAGCTCCTGAAATCATGCGATCCCCTCGCCGCACCATCGGAGAAAATGGCTATCGGGACACAAGACACCACCAGTTGAAATGCTCAGATGGCAACCTGGGAGAGCTACGCGTAGAGAGCATCCCAAATTTCCACTGCAAGAGCTTGCCCACAAGAAGCCGCAAGACCAATGCGGAGGATAGTATTGTGGGAAAGCGTGGTTCTATGTACCAGAGCTCTAGTGAAATTAGCATGATAAGAAAACTCCACGAAGGCAGGAGGAAGAAAATAGATTCTGCACTTGACGGGGATGCATTTCTGTCATTTGAGATTGTTGATTCATCCTCCCAGCCTAGCACAAGTGGAGCTTACCTTTTCTCGCATCAGAATCGCCGCTCAGAAGCTAAGTCTTCTGTGGAATCTCGTAGAATTCATCGAGCATCGAGGGACTTCCTGGATCTTTCATTCCGTGAGCTTCCTGATGAGAATTGTAGGCTGGACCGTCCACGCATGGATTGCACCCTGTTGAAAAATGATGCAGGCGATGGTTTCTTGGAGATCTCACTTGAGGAAGAGATGACCAAAGGTCCCTGCAGAAATGCAGCTCCTCAGTTGATAGGTGGAGAGTCAAGTAAAGGTACAGAAGCAAACTGCCTGCAAAACAAGATCAGTGTATGTCCCAGTGAGAATAATTGTAGTCAGAGAGAGAGGAATTCAACAAACAGTTTGCCTGAGTCCATGTCGGCCAAGGTGAGCATCTCTGATGGCACCCGTCCATCAGAAAGTGTTCGTCATGGCATAGAGAACAGCACTAAAGTTCGATCAAGCCCCTTCAAGAAGATTCTGGACCCTATTATGAAGTCCAAATCTATTAGAAGTCCATCTCTCATGGAAGACTCCAACCATGTTACTATGCCGGTTAACAGGAAAAATTGTGTATCCCGCAAATCATTGCTGAGTGATTTATCAAGGAGTGAACAAAGCCAATCAATTAATTGCCAGCTGAATGGAGAAAGGCAGCATACAACTAATGCTCTATCACCTGCTCATCTTCAGGCGGTTCTTAAATTGGATACCAAGAATGGTATTCCAGTTTTTGAGTTCTGTGTCAAGGGCCCTGAAGAATCCATTTCTGCTAGGAGTTGGAAAACAGGGAATGACTTGAACTGGATTTACACTTTCCACAGTGGTGGAAAACGAGCAAGTGCTACTGGAAGGGCCTCCAAAGATGGACGTTGGTGTTCACCGCCGATTGTAGGCCAGATGCAAGCTTCTTCGTACTTGTGCTCTGAAGTTGGAAAAGATGGTGTTCTGACTAACTCTGTCATCACTGAGTTTGTTTTGTATGATATCGCTCATGCAAGACAGAGCTTTTCTGCTGAGGAGAAAACTCAATGTACAGAGACTACTCAATCGACATTGTCAAGTGCCGTCGAGAAATCAGCCTCTGGTGACTGTCCCCAGAGGATTAATCTGATGGACCAGCAAAACAGTGCAAGAAATAACTCTGATGTATCAACATCTTGTCCGTGGTCTGAAGAAGATCTTTATCCTCATTTGGAGATTGCAGCAACGGTCATCCAAGTTCCATTTAATAGAAGCAAGTCCAAAGAACTTAAGAGTGGTTTGTCACCTGGTACTGTAAAAGTGATTACACCGAGTGGGCTGCATGGGTTACCAAACGATGATGAAACCAGTCCATCACCTTTGCTGGATAGATGGAGGTACGGTGGAGGCTGCGACTGCGGTGGATGGGACATGGCTTGTCCCATTGCTGTCCTTGGCAATGCATATGATAATAACTGGGCCAATTCTGTCACAAAGGAAGGCGAGAATCCTATGGAACTCTTTGTTCTGGTACACTTCACTTCTCCTATCTTTATTTTTTGTGTGAAATCACTTTGGGCTATGCATGCTCTGGTTTCTAAGATACTTGGTTGCCTTCCTGCTAACTCTCCAAAGATAACCCAAGGCTGATCGAGAACTTCTTTTAAGAAAGATTGATCAAATTTTCCAAGTGTTAGATTTGCTCCTCCTAGAGAACTGCCCTTAGACCCACTTTTTCTTTAGTGTAGTAATCTTTTGTTTTCGTTGTGAGCTATAAAATCATATATGTTAACCATATGGCTCGCTTTAGTAATGCCTATGAGTTTATAGGAAGAAAATCGATAGCCTTGAGGCTTATTTTGAAGATCAAGGAAACAAGACAGACATTTGACCCTTAAAACCATTGTCAGTGACGTATCTAGGCTTATTCAGTATATCGACGATTCATCTCTGTTTTCATCCATGTATTGATCTTAGTCCAAAAATGAACAAGTTGTCATATTCTTCGAACAGGGTGGCAAAGAAGAGCTCCCTGCCCTTTCCATTAAGGGCAACGAGAAAGGACAGTTATTGGTGCATTTTCACGCGCGGTTATCAGCAATGCAAGCCTTCTCAACCTGCATTTCTCTGCTGCACTGTTCGGAAGCTTCGACAGCCGTAAGTATTGAGAAGGGCAAGCACAAGCTCTACTCCAGTTCACTTAAGATGCTGCTCGAGGAGGAAGTGAGCCAGCTGATCGAGGCAGTCACGGCAGAAGAGAAGAGGAAAACAAAGAAGAGAAGTGAGAAGCCACCCAGACCAGTTGTGCTCGACCCACCCTTCTCTCCCATGGGAAGAGTGTAGGTATTGTGAACAACTGTGTTCTCATGGTCATGGTGTGCAACATTATGAGTCATATTTGGGTTTCATGTCCATATTTTTTGTTGTGATAAAAGAAGCACTTTTATGCTGTTCATAAAGATGGAAGGTGCGTGTAGGGTTTTTTCTTATCTCTTTGTAGCTTTTAGCAGATCAGTAGCAAGGCAATATATCATTGTTGAATTGCCAGATAGAAGGAAGGAATTCTGTAGTTAGTAGTAGAGGGCAATGGCAGGTTCCATGAGAGAGGACATAAATAAAGGGAAACAGCTGGCCACTTGAAAATTTTAGCCTGCTTTCATCTTTGGAGTTTGTTGTGATTGTGCATTGCAGTTTTGAATGCTATATTGTCGTTGCAGATGCCATTGCATTTTGAAGTTTTGAACTGATGAAGCGCGTTGGAACTGGCAGTTTTATGGAGTAATCTAGTGGAGTGGAGTACTCTTTAGGCATTGTGGAATGATGTGCCAGTGCCAATTATGTATAGTGCTGGTTTTGTTTGTGTACTACTAAGTAGCCAACATATTATAATTCTTGAGTTTGAGCTTGGTGCATCAATGGATACTCCGATCAAATGGTGGTGGTGGGGATGGATGGATTAGGGCATTAGGCCACACTAGCTACGAGTTAAGTCAGTGCTGAACTTTTTGTCAGGATCTTGGCTGTTCATTTATGTTTGTTGCATTGCAGAATCCTATGGGTTGACTGCAAGTGCAAATTTTAGGCTTTTTAAGTAGAAAGACACTACTAGTCCGTACTACTAGATGTTTCTGTTTTACTCTTATCGGGCTAATAGTGCATGTTCCATTTTCTTTATATATTTTGTGATGAATGGGGGAGGCTATGCTTGTTTTTGGAAAGAGGAGGTTCTGATTGAATGGTTGGTGAGGAAGAACTGGACAGTATACCAATGGCGTATTGTAATTCTGGTTCCAAATTTAGGACGTACAGGAGAAAATGGTAGAGACTAGGAGTTGGGAGATTGTGGTTTTGGGTGCTCAATGCATATGCTGCAGCATCATTCTGAGAAAGATAATGGACCTTGGCCGTCAGTGAAGTGTTTTTTCCTTTTTTTTTTTAAAAAAAAGAAATTAAAGCCTGGCCTCTACATTGCGAGGGGTTATTTCTGGTTCATCATGAATTGAATTTGGCGTTAAACCAAAGCTGGCACAATCTTTAGTTGTTGAAGGAACATTCCTGTGTGTTATGCTTAGGCTCCACTCGAATCTCAACTTGTTTTGCATTTATCTACGCTTTTATCTAGTTATGCTTATGCTCCATTAACATATAGGGCTCTCTTCTATGAGCATGTTCCCCGGATTCTAAATAGTGTGTTGTTTCGAACACTTTAATTAATTAAGTACTAATAAATCGTTTTTTTGCTTCGGACTGGTCTTCACACTAGTTGCTCCTCCTCTTCATCCTCAGTGAAGTGAAGTGATGAATGCATTCTTTCTTTGTAACCAGTAGTCCTCTTTCTTTTTATATTTGTCAGGTTAAAATAAAATCTTAGTACTGGTACTGCACTAAAACTAGTGATGATGCTGGTTTTGCCCAGAAGAAGCAGCAGTAGCAAAAGGTAGGTGCTGTAGCAGCAAGCAACTGGTGGTAATTAATTAATTAAAATATAATTATAATTATAGTGATCCAGTCACTAACTCAGTCCAGTACAAAATGGAGTTCCCAAACAAAATGGGAAAGGAAATGAGCGCAGCCCTTCCTTCCCATCTGCTGCCACATTTCATTTCATTTTTCACCTCACCATCGCCGCCGCCGCCGCCGCAGTGAGCTAGGGTTCCGACCGACCGGGGGGGCGAAGGGCGAAGGCAATGGACGAGTCGACCGCCTACCGCAACCTGCGGGGCCCGTCGCCCTTTGTGTTGGCCATGAAAACCCGCCTCGCCCCGCCGCCGCAGCTCTCCGATCCGCCTCCGCCTCCCCTCCCCGCCGTTCCTCCCTCGCTCCTACCGCCCCTCCTACCACCACCCGAGAAGCGACGCCGGGGTCGTCCCCGCAACTGCGACCGCCTCACTGCGCCGCCGGGCTTCTTCGCCCCGCTGCCGCCGCCACCGCCACCGCAACCTCAACCCCCCACGCTGCCTGCGCCTCACGGTGCTCAATCCCGTACTTTCCAACTCTAACTCTTCACTTGTGCATGTGCTGATTTTTTTGCTTCTTGTGTGGTGTGGACAGGGCAGGGGCAATTCGGTGGCCTCCAGCCCCACCTTCTCCAAATTGATGCAGGAGAGGTATCTATTTCTCTCTCTCTGCTATATAGATTGTGATGTGCCTCTGCTACCGCTGCTGTTCATGGTTGGCCCCCTCTTTTTGCTCGCTCAACGACCCACAGCTTAGGAATTAAGGATCACCGACTAGGATTAGGATCAACGTACTACAAATACACCCGGTGACTGCCTTCTAAATTACATTTGATTTCGTATTTAGATATGATTGATAATTTCAGTGAAAACCGGTGTTTCAAACCTTAACTGCAATTCGATAGGGATGTCACAAAAACATGGTTTCAACAGATTGGGAATAGCTCTACATATCCTGCAAAAAAGTGTGGATTTTGTCCACCACCAAATCGACCCATATCTGTAGAAAATTCACTGAAGCAGAAAATAGAAAACTTCTTTTAGTGTTTCTGCCCACCACATTCTTTGCTAAAAGATCCATATGCAAACTTTCACAACATTTTTCATGCCGCTCCAAGAAGAGATTTTTTTTTTGTTTATAGTTTTCTCAAATATGCAACTGCAGAACTGATCATAAAAAAGGCAGAGTGGTGTATGCATAATGCTTCTTTTGGTGCAGATGATGTATGGCTACTTACTATGTTTTCTCTAATCAAAATGTGGCAAGCGATTTTATTCTTCTGAAATGACCATGCAGGAAATCATACCGAAGATTACGGCACTGTCAAAGTCAAATGGGAGGGTGATCTGTGTTCTTTCAGTGCTTGGAGCTGTTCAGGAAGCAACTCTGCTCCTATCATCCGGTGTTACTTCATATCACAAGGTTCAGCTTTTATTTCCATATGGCATATGGGGAGGGAAACACTGCTCAAAGTTTAACACTCCCCCTCCCCCCATTTAGATAACATAGTATTCCAAATATATAAATGTCAAGTGTATGTTCAAGTGATTTTTAAATAATTATCGAAGCGGTGAGGGGGCATTCCAGTTCTTGGCCTGGATTAACTCAAAGGGTGGAATGTAGGAGTGCCAGTGTTTGAGATGGCGGCCTTGAATTTGATCCCATCCATGTGCAGGGGTGGAATTGCTGGCATGTGTTCCAAACTAAAATAAAAAACCGCAAATGTAGAAGGATGTTTTTCCTCAAATTGAGCTTTTTGTATTATTAAACTTACTGCCAGGTCAGTTACTTTTATAAAAGCAAACAGATAAAGTTACAGAGTTACATAAGTACAACATCAAACTTAAAATTAAATAATCTGTAACCAATCAAACGAATAACGTTGTTGCTTATTTAGCTAAGTTACTGTGACAAAGTTGATACCAAAACTCTCATTCAATTTTTGCAGGGTCCTTTGGAAATAATTCGTTTGTTCGGATCCATTTTGACACCAAATGACCAAGGATGCTTGCGTGTAACCCTTGCTTCTGGCGATAGTTCTGTGATTGGTGGTGTTATCACTGGACCTCTCAAAGCTGCAACACCTGTCCAGGTATCTTCAAATTTTTGAGACAGGGATATGCTCAATCAGTTTTTAGTACCACATATCATGGTAACAACAGGCCACAATTCACATACATTTTTATACTCTTCCAGGTAGTTGTTGCAAGCTTTTACAGCGATGTATACTGGCCAAACAGGACACCTAAGATCATTGCACCTTACCCTAATTCCCAGTCTACCATCAGGAATGGCAGCACTCTGTCTAGTGAGCATGTCAATCCAGGATATGTATCTTACACTGCAGTGGATCAACATGAATCAAGTGAGGTTGATGTTAAGCCCTCACTCGGGATGCTTAACTTAGCATCATTGGATCGACATGAATCAAGTGAGGTTGATGTCAAGCCCTCACTCGGGATGCTTAACTTAGCATCCTTGTAGGTAATTTAACTCAATGGAAGAGATGTTTGACATATTTTTAGAGAAAATGCATCAGATAGCTCAGATTTCGTGAACCATCAAGTAGTCGTGACTTTGTGGCTTAGTTGAAAAGCAGTTCTTTATAGATGGAACATTGTACTCTTGGATTTTCATTGTTGAAATTCATGTGGGCGGCGGGCATATAGCTTCAGTGCTAATGGTGCTCTGATGAACTGGTAATTTTGAGTGAAGCCAAAGGGTGTGTGCTCTTGAGCTGAATCTTGACCTTACATGATGTGGCTGGCAGGTTTGGTGGGAACTTGAAAATATCACAATAAGATTGGCAAGGTACAGCTGGTTACAGTAAACTGATCTCAGAAGGAATTTGCTCGGCTTTCTATATGTGGTTTACATTTTGCAAATGTCTCATGTGTAAATATGTATTGCTAACCTCATGATGCTATCCATGCTTCAAAAGGTGGCATCGTGCCTTTGAAGTTACATGGTGTAAGATGGGAGTTACAACTAACAAGAGATATTCGTTGTTATTTTCGAGCCTGTTCAATTTTGTACTACCAATCAGCAGGGAGAGATGCAATTTTTGTACTCCACGCAGAAATATAATGGGTTGCAAATGCAGCCAGGTGTTTGCTCGCAAGTAGTACTTCATATGGCTGGTTTCTACCTTCTGGACACACATGCCATTGCGGCAAAGTTGATCCCTTTTTTTTTTCAGAAAATGGGATGAACCTGGCCAATACATATCCAACGGGATGTACGCAGGCAACGGCAAAGTTGATAGGAAATAGATGGGCCGCTCCAGTGACCGGCGCTGTCGACTTTGAGCAGCCCATTGATTGAAGAATCAGGCTAGTTTGTGGGGTTAAGAGATACTAATACTATCTTGCAGTTTCAGTGAATGCCAGTGTATAGCTTGTGGCAGGCAAAACCGTCTAGAAAGCCAGATCAAAACAGTTCTCAACTCTCTATCCTGTCTTGTGAACTGAAACATGCTCGCTTGCGCCGATTGAACTGCACAGGAAGGAAAGGTGAAAAGCAGTGGAGGATTGCAAAGGTGAAGTTAAGCTACTAGTAGTACATACAAGCCGAAGCAGAAGTGTGGGATTTGGCTTGGCCTTGGCCAACTGATGGATGGATGTGGGTATCCGACTATCCGAACATGTAAATATGGTTGAATGCTGATGGTGTATCACCATAAGACAGGCAGGTTTTCAGGTGAGCAGAGTACTCTTCTTCCCTATTTATGGGACCTCTCGAACAAGAAAATTACATTGCATATGACCCAATTGTGTGACTCACGTACAACTACTCAACCTAGGGTGTGTTTAGTTCACGCCAAAATTGAAAGATTGGTTAAAATTGGAACGATATGGCGGAAAAGTTGAAAGTTTGTGTATGTAGGAAAGTTTTGATGTGATGGAAAAGTTAAAAGTTTGAAGAAAAATTTTAGAACTAAACTCGGCCCTAGTTGTTTCCATAAAGCAGGACTTCAAACCTGGTTATATCAGTGAGAACACATTTTCCAGAGCTCTAAATCGCGTCATATTCGGATGAATGTTTTAATAGGCGGGTGGGCAGAGAGGAAAACTAAAATGGCATTTACCAATGAAGAATCTTGATAACCTGGATGATCCTTGAAGACAGTAACCAGAGGCGCATTGGATAACCTAAGGAAAACACTAGTAAAGTATGCAACTCAAAAAAATATGCAGCATAAACTAGGACTAGGTATCACAACTACTACTGTACAAGTGATCGTGCTGAGCACATGGCTCACCGTAAAGAAGAACAAGGTAATCAAGTGTCACTTTAGAATCTCCAGATAGAATTGAGATCTAATGCAGTTGTAATAACTACTGCAACTTTAGCAGTGATAGCATATTATGACCGTTGGATCGATGCAGCCAACAGCTTGGATTTGCTCTGCCACCCTCTGTACAGTATACGCTACAGTAGAAAATTGCTACAGTGATTCGTGAACAGTATTTTCTGATGATCTGAGCCGCTGGTTTTTGATCCATCAGCTACCTTGCAACTGCTAAAGTTGCAGTGATAGTAGCAACCGCACTGGATCTCAATCCCTTGAGATAAGACCAGTCAAACAAACATATATGACAGCTTGTATTGTGCGACTCCAAGCTGGAGCTTGATGGACGGTTTAACTGTGCAGCTGCAGGAGCAGGAGCAAGAATATATTGATCCACAGGCCCAAGAAATGCAAGGGCAACTTGCATATCGACTGTGCTGCACATGCAGTCATATGAATATGATCCGGCAAGGCAAGCTGTGACAGTAATGCTAATGCAATGCTGGCCCTCATGCCTGCCCTTCACTTCACAAAAAGGAAAAGTAGTATAGTAGTAGTAGATCTTGAGCAAGGCATATGCATCCCAGGGTGTGCAATGCAAGCATGGCTTGTCCTCCTCTTGTGTAAACATTTTTTCATCATCAACTGTTTCAACTTGCAGAGGAATAGAAGATCCGATCAGACCATCCAGCCAATCCAAATTACTTTGACTAGAAGTAAACAATACTAGTGATCAAGTGGCTGTATGATCGATCACACAGACTGGAATCATCATCTAACTTGCACACACGCAGTCTTGGACACAAGGAACAGGCGACCTCAACCTCAATGCAGCATTTGCACTTGCAACAAGTACTGTAACAAGCAGCATATACCAACAAGTTAAACAACCCTGATGCCAGTTCTCTCACCTGTACAATCCCAGTGGTCAGTGGCAGAGAAGTGTGAGTATCAAAGAAACATACAAAGCACTCTCCACTGATGAACAGCCATTCTGCAACACTGGAATGAAACAAACACAAGTTGAGTTGACACCAAGTAGAGTACTCTAAGCAGCAACTCTGCATTTTACTAGAAGATAGATTAACAAAAATAGGATGATAATTCATACAGATCAGTTAGACAGTAACAGCACATACTCCTACGAGTACAAGGCAACAGGGTATTGTGCCTATCATCAATCAAAGCTGAGTAATAATAATACATCAAGTAGAGTAGAGTAGCAGCTAGGAGTAATAATTAAGAACGACAACACTTGAGAAGATAGCCTAAGCAACACAAGAAGTGAACCGAACCCCATTAGATTGGACATTGATATTGCAGTAGAGTAGTAATTAGTCCTGGAGATCAGCCTCTTCTTCCTCATCCTCGTATTCACCCTCGTCGTCGGCGGTGGCGTCCTGGTACTGCTGGTACTCGGAGACGAGGTCGTTCATGTTGCTCTCAGCCTCGGTGAACTCCATCTCGTCCATGCCCTCGCCCGTGTACCAGTGCAAGAAGGCCTTCCTGCGGAACATGGCGGTGAACTGCTCGCTGACGCGGCGGAACATCTCCTGGATGGAGGTGGAGTTGCCGATGAAGGTGGAGGCCATCTTGAGGCCGGTGGGGGGGATGTCGCAGACGGTGGACTTGACATTGTTGGGGATCCACTCGACGAAGTAGGAGGAGTTCTTGTTCTGGACGTTGAGCATCTGCTCGTCCACCTCCTTGGTGGACATCTTGCCGCGGAACATGGCGGAGGCGGTGAGGTAGCGGCCGTGGCGGGGGTCGGCGGCGCACATCATGTTCTTGGCGTCCCACATCTGCTGGGTGAGCTCCGGGACGGTGAGGGCGCGGTACTGCTGCGAGCCGCGGGAGGTGAGCGGGGCGAAGCCGACCATGAAGAAGTGGAGGCGAGGGAAGGGGATGAGGTTGACGGCGAGCTTGCGGAGGTCGGAGTTGAGCTGGCCGGGGAAGCGGAGGCAGCAGGTGACGCCGCTCATGGTGGCGGAGATGAGGTGGTTGAGGTCGCCGAAGCTTGGGGTGGTGAGCTTGAGGGTGCGGAAGCAGATGTCGTAGAGGGCCTCGTTGTCGAGCACCATGCACTCGTCGGCGTTCTCGACGAGCTGGTGGACGGAGAGGGTGGCGTTGTAGGGCTCCACCACGGTGTCGGAGACCTTGGGCGAGGGGAAGACGGAGAAGGTGAGCATCATCCGGTCGGGGTACTCCTCCCGGATCTTGGAGATGAGGAGCGTGCCCATGCCGGACCCCGTGCCGCCGCCAAGCGAGTGGCAAACCTGGAACCCTGCAGCAGCAGCAGCATTTGAACTCAGATTTGATTTGAGGAGAGGCAGATCTGAGATAGTTAGGGTACTAGTTACCTTGGAGGCAGTCGCAGTTCTCGGCCTCCTTTCGTACGACGTCGAGGACGGCGTCGATGAGCTCGGCGCCCTCGGTGTAGTGTCCCTTGGCCCAGTTGTTGCCGGCGCCGGACTGGCCGAAGACGAAGTTGTCCGGGCGGAAGATGTGGCCGTAGGGGCCGGAGCGGACGGAGTCCATGGTGCCCGGCTCCAGGTCCATGAGCACGGCGCGCGGGACGAAGCGCCCGCAGGAGGCCTCATTGTAGTACACGTTGACGCGCTCCAGCTGCAGGTCGGAGTCGCCGTCGTAGCGCCCGGTGGCGTCGATCCCGTGCTCCGCGCACACCACCTCCCAGAACTTGGCGCCGATCTGGTTCCCGCATTGCCCACCCTGGATGTGGAGGATCTCCCTCATCTTCTCCTTCCTCTTCTTTCTTCTTCCTCGTAGGCGGCGGCGGCGGTGGCGAAACAAGAGGAGGAGGCGGCGGCGGCGTCGGGAGGCGTTAGTGGAGTGTTAGGGTTGGGGCAGTTGGGGTGGGACGCTTTATATAGAGGGTGGGGGCGACCGACGACCACACTGACGCCGTCTGCTTTTTTTGGACGAGCCGAGCAGAGGGAATTCGAATTTTGAAATCTCTCTCTCTCTCTCTCTCTCGGGCAGGGGAAACGAAACGGAACGGGACGGCCTGCGTGTTGCCAGACTGGTCCCCCTAACGGCTAGTCACTGCATTGGACGCCGCTCTCTATTTCCAATCTTTTACAACCAACGGCCCATTTAACGTTGGGCCTGTTTAAATCCCACCCAAAATTTTTTATTGTCACATCGAACGTTTAAGCACATATATGAAGTATTAAATATGGGTTAAAAAATAACTAATTGCACAGATTGCAACTAATTTGCGAGACAAATTTTTTGAGCCTTTTTGCTCCATAATTTGACAATGTAGTGGTACAATAAACATTTGCTAATGATAGATTAATTAGTCTTAATAAATTCGTCTCGCGGTTTACTGTCGGATTCTGTAATTAGTTTTTTTATTAGTCTACGTTTAATACTTTAAATGTGTGTCCGTATATCCGATGTGACACGCCAAAACTTTACACCCTTGGATCTAAACACAGCCTAAATAAAAGAGGGCAGCTACCCCACGGAATTCCGTTACTGCACGATAGTCACGGGATAAAATTAGCACCCAACAGATTTAATACCGATTCCTTTTCTGATCGAGCCCAACGTTGTGCACGCGATTCCCCTACTCGCCGCCTCCGCGTAGATACCTCGTCGGCGGGGGCGCGGAGCGCCGCAGCAACTACCAGCCAGAACCCGGCGCAGAGCGCGAGAAGGATCCTTCCCGCAACCAAAACCCGGCTCGGTATCGCGCGCCTCTGCACGCGATACATCGCCGGCGGCGCCTTCAACTACAACAAGCAGGAGTGCTCCTTCCCCTAAATCCAGTGCCTCCGCGCGCGATACCTTGCTGGCAACAGCGCGTGCACCTAGTCGCAGTAGTCCTCAGCAAAAATCCATCTCAGGTGCCGACCTCCATCGCCGGATTTCCTTTTGCGTACCTCACTCAGGTATCTATTCAAGTAGTTTTTAGGGTATCAGCTTCTCTAGTTTTTAGGTATCATTTTTTTTCTCTAGTTAGGTATCAGCTTATCTCTATTTTTCAAGGTATAATGGTTTGTGTTCTGCTTGTTATGTGTGGGGTGAAAAACTAACTAGAAAAATGTGTGGATTATTCATGCAATTTTAGTTAAAAAGTTTTTTATGGCTGAAAGAAAAGAGAATGAATTCCTCGGTTGGATCTGCTGGAAGAATGATGGAAGAGGTAGCAAATGAGGGGAATGTTGTCCTTAGTGAAAGAAGTATGAAAGAGCAACATAGTGACAAGGATGATGTTTGTGTTGAAAGAGCAATGGAACAAGTATCAAGTCATGATGATGATGTGTTGAGGGAAGCACTGCTTGAAACTGGGTTGTTTACAGGTGCCATGAGCATTGATCAAATTGATGCAGGTGATGAGTTTGAAATACAAGATGAGTTTGGACATGAAGATGGAGAAACTGAAGATGAGGGGGTCCAATCTCAACCTGCAGTCCCTGATGTTGGTACGGAGTTCTTTTCAGAAAAATAGGCTCAAGATTACTACAATCGTTATGCAAAAAACCAATGTCACCAAGGAGTACAACATATATGAGATTGCTTGCTACTCCAAGCGCACAAGCTAGAAAAAAAAAGCAATGTCACCAAGCGCCCAGACCTATTGATATGAGGTGAAAAGATGGTCTCTTATAATTTTTTTTCTCATTTGTTTCAGCTCGGCATGAGGAGGGGTAAATTCATTGATTCATCATTCATTTTGCAGGGGTGTGGAAGAAATATAGCACTAAGGGGTGTGGGAGAAAGATAGCACTGAGGGAAAAATACAACATTTCATTTTTTTTTTACATTTGCTAAATGAGACTTGTTCATGTAATAATTCCTCTTTTTGGCTGATTGGTGAACCATGTTGCTTGATACTAAATTGAAAGCTTCCGAACAGTTGTGATGTATGGTCAGAAAATGTCAAATGTGGTTGCACTTGCCGAGAAAAAATGTACCTGATACCTGAATTTTGTTTGATACTTATACTTTTGAGGTGGTCATGGTACCTTGATGTGAGATGTACTGTGAGGCTAATACCTGTACTGTGTGGTGCCAGTCATGAAACCTATAGCGACAATGTATTGTAATGTATAAGGTCTGGTGTCTGGGTTAAGACCTGGTACCTGGGTTTTCTGGGAGGTACCAGACCTAGTACCTATATTTGTGAGGCGGATACCTCTATACTGTGAGGTACCATGTCTGGTACCTGGCTTTAGAATTGATACCGGTACCAATTTTGGTACCTAGTGCCAGGTACTACCAGGTACCAGACCTGGTACCTGGATTGCTACCAGGCACCAGACCCTGGTACCTATATTCAGACCCTGGTACCTATATTTGTGTGGCTGATACCCCTATGTTGTGAGGTACCATGTTTGGTAGTTGGGTTCAGACCTGATACCTTGGTTTTCCCTTGATACCTTTCAAATGCGAGGAAAAAATCACTTTAGGGTACCAGCCCCTGGATACTTATAGACATTTCGATTTCATGGTTTAAAACGTGGTATATTTTTTTTAAAAAAATGTACCACACAAACATGCATAAAAAAAGTTGAGTGCTGCAAACGAAAGGTAAGCTGGGATGTATTTCACATGGTGACATGGCAGTAGCCATTACATGGTGACATTTGTTCACATATTCACATGGTTAAAAACAAAAAAAATGATGGTACCACTACATAGTTGGCCTGGTTCTCATTGTATTGACAAGCCACGGTGTCATGCTTTTGGACATACTACAAACTTGCATTGACAGTAAATTCTCAAAACAAGCATTATGCACAAACTGAGTCTGAACAGGTGAAAGTTGAGATGCTATTTTGCACATGCGGCTCGAGTAGCAGCTGAAGGTAATGACCTGCTTCTGATTGTGCACTGAAACCTAATTTAATTTTCTTTAGTATTGTCAGCAAACTATTAGATGAAAATAGGAATAGTAAAAAAAAAGCTTAAATAGAAAGAAGACAGTTGAAAAATATGATACCTTCGTTTCAGTTTCCATCTTCTTCCTTTTCTTGTTGCCACAAATGGCATTTGATTTATCTGGTAGGAATTTAAGCTTGGTACAAGGTTTCGAGGCACATTTCCTCCTTTGCTCTTCAGCATTACATTGGTTGGATTTCTTGACCCTTGGTGAGCGCCTTGGACCACTAGGCACAAAATGTACAGAATCTGAATTATCTGAACATGTAGCCATATCGACTCTGTGTGCGAAAAACAAAAAAAGGAAAACATGACAATTAGTCCGCTTTCAATCATTGTTACTGTAATGTCAGATTATAGTGATACATGTTACAAAATTAGTTAAAAAAAATCAGTAGATGCCACTCCTCCCATGGTATCAACCAGAAAATATATATTTATCGATACATAAAGTTATATAATGTACAATTATCGCTTCATTTTAACAGCTTCCTCTTGTGCAATGCTTCAGAGTTGTATATGTTGTGTGCAAAATATATGTTTATACTACACTAGTATCCCCAGTGCCATGTAAACTGGGAAAAATATTGGTGTGTCAGATAAATTTTGGTGAACCAGTACTAGTAAACAGTGACAAGATGCAGTTTATGCATCTCATCTCCCTCCCCTGTATCAACCAGAAAAATCAAAACACATTGGTGGCAGATTTCGACAATTCCATCAGAACCTATTGTCCTTCTGTAATCTAGCTGATACCTAGTAAAAATAAAAGTAGATATTACTCCTAGTAAAAATTGCTGGAAACACGATGTATGTGTGTTAACAGTGTACAATCTCATCTACGCATGAATAACACAAAAACAAGTAACTCGTCTGTTTCATATAGACTACTCGATGTCACAAAATAGATTCCAACCACAAACAAAAAGTTTCATGAGAGGAGTAACCAACCTGTTAATTTTAACAGGTCAAGTATCAAATACGACTACCCCATCACGGGATATAATTTTCTTGCCACCCCCATCACGGCTTCCCTTGGCCTCGTCTATAAAAAATCAGAAAATCTACTGAACTTTGATGTAGACCCTAGAACAGAAATGTAGATAGAAGCTGAATTAGCCAAGTTGAAAAGTTGGGATGCGAGAAGACATAGGAAATGAAACTTAGAAATTAAGATGAATCACATACCTATGGTTTGAGTCTGCTGCATGAGAGGGGGTTGCTGCTAAGTGGTACCTGTGGACAGAATCGGAGGAAGGGATGGGAGCAGCGGTGCGGCACCGTCGTCATGGGGGAGGCGGAGGGAGGGAGGGGAGCGACGGCGCAGCAGCGCCGGCATGGGGAGGCGGAGGAATGGAGGGGAGCGGCGGCGCAGCAGCGCCGGCGTGCGAAGGTGGAGGAAGCGAGGGGAGCGGCGGCGCACGCCGGCAAGCTGTGAGTGGAGGGACGCTGGCGAGCTGTGAGTAGAGGGGAAAAAGGTTGAGGACAGATAAGTGGAGGAAAGGGAAAGTGGCGTAACGTTTCGGACATACTCCCTCCGTTTCGTTTTATTTGACACCGTTGACTTTTTAACATATGTTTGACCGCTCGTTTTATTTAAAAAATTTAAATATTTATTAATTTTTTTCATATCATTTGATTCATTGTTAAATATACTTTTATGTATACATATAGTTTTACATATTTCACAAATTTTTTTGAATAAGACGAACGGTCAAACATATGCTAAAAAGTCAACAGCGTCAAATAAAACGAAACAGAGGGAGTATTAAATTTGTCCCGTGACTACCGCACCGCTACGGGACGCCGTTAAGTAGATTTTTTTTTTAAATAAAAGGAATAAAGTTTCGAACCCAGGTCGGTTAACCGGAAGAACCCTAGGCAAGATTCTCGCCAACAGTCCATTTAATGTTAAGTTCAAAACTTTGCATCATTTCGATTAATATTTCCAGTTATTTTTTTAAAATGTGTGATTTTGTTTTTTAAGTACTCCACTTTAGCAGATACTCATCAGTTTACCAATAGTTCAGATATCCAAAACTAGGACATGCTCAACAAACCTTGTTCCAGCAATGAGCATTTCAAAATAAATACAAGCTTACTTCCTCTATAAAAAAACAAATCTATGATGTGACACATCTTAGTAATAAGAATTTTAATAACTCCTATATATATTCAAATTCATAGTATTAGGATGTGTCACATCCGTAGATTGGTTTTTTATGGAAGGAGGGAGTGCGCAACTATGAACGGTTGCAATAGCCAACACTGACGATCACGGCCATATTTATCTTATTAAATTTGGAAATTAAAATAAGTAATGGCTTTCGATAATTCCACGCACTTTTGTTTTTGTTTCAAATATATTTGTTCTTACTTGTGAAAATGTGAGATTTTCTTACAGTGTTACCCCCATTTTTAAATATACGATGTTTTTAACTCTAATATGACATTTGAATATTCATTGTATTAGAAAAAAAATAATTATGAGACAAAGTGATGGAAGTGAGAATCGATATGAGGGACAATTATTAATAGTGTATAGGGATATCGGCTTAGTCTGGCTTATTCTACCTCACATCTTCATCCTAACAAGCTAAAAAATACGGCACACCTCAACTTGTTTGCTTGCTTCATTCGGCTTGTTTAGCTCGTGATCAACGACGAGTGGTGCGGCGAGCAAAGACGAGCGGTGTGGGGAAGAGAGGGGGTTGTGCCTTGCACGATAAACAATTGGCCGGTCACCTACTCATAGGAAGAGAGCAAGTCGTGGACCTTGAGCTCAACGGGGTAGAGTAGCTCAATCCCCCGTGCTAAGGGTGCAGGTGGATCGACCCACGGACTCATTTATAATGTAGATAAGTGTGTTCATGAGTCGATCAGGTTTCACCAATGCTTTCGATTTGAAAGGTGGACGATAGACTGACACGCGTAGACTATGGCACATACGTGTGCCATAGTCGGTAGGCGGTGTTGGCATGGCACACGCAACAGGAGGAGGGGTGAGTTGACGAGTGTTGGCGTGCAACGATCTAACCACTACGACTAGCGATTATTTAGAGCAAATTTAATAGTGTAGCAAACTACTAGCTCTAAATCATATGTAGTCAATCTAATAGCCCATTTATATAGTAGTTACTAAATTGGTACTACATCATTAACATATTAACATATGGTCTCATTTCTCATACACATAACGTTTTAGAGTCCGTGTTATAGCTGGCTATAAGTCTGTAGTCTGTTTTTTTCTCTCTTATCTTATTAATATCAGCTTATAGCTGATTTATAGTCTGCTATCGTATATGCGAGGTGGAAGAAGAGTGTGTGGCGGCAATGTGCCGTGGGATGCGAATGGAATGGAATGGCGTTGGGGTCTTGGGGAGAAGTGGAAGCAGTTGGGCCATGTTGGGCTGTAGTCGTGGACTGCTGGGCTGCTAGTTTCCCGAATTTTTTTTATTTATACTTTTTTTATTAAAATATTTACAAAAATAATTTGTTGTTTCGAAAATTTACAAATCTAATCGCCTGCCGCCCTTTGGGAGGGCGATTTTTAAAAATCGCCCTTCCACAGGGCGGCAAGGGACCTAAATGTAAATTTTCCAGCATAACTTGTTAGCTCTATAATTTTACAATTTAAAATTATATTATATAAAGTCAGATGAAATAAAACTTTATATCAAAATTGTAGAGCTCAAGGAGATCTACAACTTTGTAGTTAATAACTTTTTCATTTAAGATGTTTTAGATATCCAAATATTCGTTACAAAATATAAAACACATTTTAAAAAATCTCAGATCTACATTTCAAACGACATTGGATGGAGATAAACTTTATATAAAGTTGTAGATCTTGATGAGATCTATAACTTTGTAGTTTATCACTTTTCCATTTAAAATCATTTGGAGTATCGAATAAGCATTATTAGTTTTTAAGCAATTAAAACCGGTGGGAAGGGTTTGAACACAAATAAAAATTTTGTATTTAGGTCCCTTGCCGCCCTTTGAGAGGGCGATTTTTAAAAATCGCCCTTCTTAAGGGCGGCAGGCAATTAGATTTGTAAATTTTCGAAACAAAAAATTATTTTTGTAAATATGTTAATAAAAAAATGTATAAATAAAAAAAATTCCTAGTTTCCCTGGATCATTCGGCTTGGGAAAAAGTACACCGAAGGTCCCTCAACTTGTCATCGAATTACAAAATCGTCCTTAAACAGCAAAACCGGATACAACACATCCCCCAACTTACAAAACCAGTGTAGACTAGGTCCCTCGGTGGTTTTGACTCCAGTTTTGTCCGACGTGGCAGCTGACTCAGCGTGGGACCCAGGTGGGTCCCACATGTTAGCCCCTTCTTCCCCTCCCCTCTCTTTCTCCCTCTTCTTTTCTTTCTCTCTCTTTGCTGCTCAGTTCGGCAAGCGGGAGTCCGGCAGTGGCGATGGGAGACGAGGCGACGGGTGACGGGCGACAAGGCGGCCACCGTGACAACGGGCGATGAGGCGGCGGCGGCGACGGGCGACGAGGCCGTCCGCTCCGCCTCTACATCACCTCCGCCTACTCGGAGCAGGAGGCAGCCGCGGCCGATGACGACCTCACGGTGGTGTACGACCTGCGCACCGACGTCGAGCAGCCATCGCTCCCGAACCCCTCCTCCCTCGAGCGGAGGCGGGATGCGCTCCTCGCCTATGCCTGCGCCCTCTCCCTCGTCGAGCCCCGTTTCCCCATCCGCCTCCGCCTCCGCCTCCGCCGCTGTCGTCTCCTCTCCCATCTATCGGCCCCGGCAGCTAGAGCGGATCAACGACGATGACACCGACGTCGTGGTCGGCCTACCGCACTGCCTCCTCCTCTGTCGACGACGGCAAGATAAGGGACCTCCCACCATCCACCTCCCCAGATCCGACGACGACGACAACCGCCGCGTCCAGTTCCTCCCCAGGCGGCTGCCGGCCGCGCCCATCTCCGCCCTCGCTGGTCGCTCCCCACTCCTCCCCCGCCGGTTTAGGGATGAGAGAGGAAGAGAGGTGGAGAGAGAGAAGGGGAAGAAGAGGCTGACATGTGGGACCCACGCTGAGTCAGCTGCCACATCGGACAAAACCGGAGTCAAAACCGCCGAGGGACCTAGTCTACACTGGTTTTGCAAGTTGAGGGACGCGTTGTATCCGTTTTGTGGTTTAAGGATGATTTTGTAATTCAATGACAAGTCGAGGGACCTTCGGTGTACTCTTTCCTTCGGCTTGTTATGCCTAACGAGCAATAATTTTTAGGCCATGTTAGATTCAGATTATTCAACGGGTTATTGCGAAGGATTATCTATTTAACTATTGAGATAAATTAAATATTTTCATAAAACAGATTTAAATAATACTAGCTTAAAACAAGCGGTATAAGCAAAACATTGTTTTCAAGGGTAGAGCAAATAATGAGGTGATAATATGAGAAGAACAGGGCCTAAGCTCAACTCGTTTACCATTCCCAGTGAGCCGACACTAAAAAACACAATTTTTCACACTTTTCTTTTATTTTTTCAAATGGACTAAAAATAATACCGTGAGTAAAAATCACATTTATTTTTACTTGCAGAAGATATAAGCGCGCTTAAGACATCTATGAGAGAACACATTATCTTTACTGACGGACGATATAAACAGTGAGGATCGATTTTAGAAAAATATGTATTTGTACCTAACTTTTTCATAAAAAGTCTGCTAATTAAATTTATACCAAACTTGTACTAACTCCGTCCAAAAAAAAATGTCAACCTATACATAGATGGGACATTACATAGAACAATGAATCTGAGCATCTCCAGAGATTTGTTGTCCTATGTAATGTCCCATCCATGTCTATGATTGTTTTTTTTACAGAGGGAGTATATCTCAATGAGAACTAAAACTTTTTAAGCTGAATAATTTTCTATTTGAGATCATTTAGGGTTTAAAATATTTGTTATAAGATTTAAGATCTATTTCACAGAATTTCATATATACGATTCAAATAACCTCCGATGGACACATGATATGTGTCAAAGTTGTAGAGCTAGATCTACAACTTTGTAATTCATGATTTTTTTTATTTAAAATCATTTAGGCTGTGTTCGCCACGCCTAGTCCCCAACATGAATAGTGCGCACGAAAAACGAAGCGATCCATTAGCACGTGATTAATTAAGTATTAGCTATTTTTTTAAAAAAATAGATTAATTTGATTTTTTAAACAACTTTCGTATACAAACTTTAAAAAAAAACACCATTTAGCAGTTTGAAAAGCGTGCGCGTGGAAAACGAGGGAGAAGGGTTGGGAATAAGGGGTGCCCAACACGTCTTAGAGAGGCAAATAAGTATTTTAAGTTTCGACAATGGAAATCAAAACGATAGCATTTTAAATATTGACATTAAGTGCTTCATACTAAGATGGTAATGTAATACATGTGTGGAGAGAAACGTATTGCGTTCAAATCCCACAAATCACATACTTCTGGATTTAGGCCCTGTTTAGATCCCA